TTTTTTAGGTGCAATGAATTACTTTCCTTTCTTTTTTGGTTATTTTATGTCGGCCTATTTCAGCTAGAACGGCTTAACAACGACGTCAGGACACGAGCAATCCCAACCCGGATATTTTGGCGAATCCCCACATTGTCGTAGTAGAGATATACTTTCCTAACACTGCACAGACAAGGAATAAACGGTTTTATATCCTTTACGAGGGATGGTATGTCTTTCTATACAAACCTTGCCTAAATTTGTATAGCTTCTGTGAATACACAGACATACAGGTTACTAGAAGGTAGACGAGCATCGCGAGCCTTTCTTGGATGGTCACCCTTCCAAGTACTAACCGTGATCAGCGTTCCTTGACTTTTTATACATATCATTAACATAAAAGCGATCTTCTACTTAAAAACTGAAAAAGTGCTATACTTACTAGAGAAAAAAGAAACAAAAAATAAGTATTTAAGTTTAATTAGTTGAAAATGAGCTGTAATTTGTAGTAAAAAATTAATTAACTATTTTTAAAATCCGTAAATACTTAACTCAATTAGGTACTTAAAAATATATTTAATACAAATAATGGTTATTTTTTGTATAAGTGTTTTAAGCAGTATTTTATTCACTCTAGAATGTTTAATCTTAAGTTGATAAAAGACAATTAACACGAATGCAATACAACTTTTTATCCATAATCACATCACAATCATATTGGTGGAGTTAGAAATATTGGAATTTAATAAAAAAATATTCGCACAACTTGATATTTCTTACTAGTACTCAATAAAACGTGGTAGGTTTAGTTATACCTACTGGTTACTGTGGAACGTTGTTCAATTAATTATTTAATAAACAGTTCTATCTGAATTCGGTAAAAATGCAAGAAAGTAATGGTGTTCCTGTGGCTGTTTTTGAAGAAGCTCTAGGAGCAATTTTTCATTTATTGCCAGCGAAATCCAGGAAACATTACGAAAAAGTGTTCGCCGAATATAACGAAAGGAGGGAAAAACGGAGAGTAATGACAATAAATGAAGAAGTCATGTTATCGTATTTTTTAAATGTGAAGAAAAAATATGCAATTACATCTATGCGGTCGAAGTATTCGATGTTGAAGGCTACTATAAAGGTTTACAAAAATATAGAGATATTGGAAAATGTAACAAGCTTACTGCTTATTTAAAGAGGGAATCGAGAGGATACAAAGCAAAAAAAGCTGCAGTATTGGAAAGAGCACACAAAGAAGTGGATCTTATTTGTGGAAGGGCGACATGGGCGGTGACTATTAGACGCCTTCATTATAGCCATCTTTCTCTATCGCACGGATTTCTATGACTTTCTTTATCGGTCTCACGTAACGGACGATGAACCATGGGGACTTTCCGACCCTGTATACAGGATGTGTACTTTTTAATTACAAAGAAATTCTGGAAAAATAGGAAGCAGATTAGATTACCTGCTTGTTTTATGATCTCAAAAACCTCAAAAATCTGCATGTAACAAATTTTATTCCAAAATTTTAAAAATAAAAAATTTAACAGTGTTACTTTGATTTAAATTTTGGGCCAAGTTCCTTGTTTTAAATCTACAAGCGGCATTTTTTGATACACTTCAGTCTTTTCTTTTCAAAATTTATCTTCGCTGCTCCAAAACGCTAACGTAAAGTAAATGCGATAATAATTACTCTAATAGCAAAACCGCTATTTCCCTTAAATTTTAATCTCTCCTAACGTTAAATAAACAATCTCAATTTAAAAATAAATAATTCCAACTTAGGATATAACAGGGGTTTAACCGTGTGAGTGTAATCAACTTGTGTTCTCGTTTTCGTTACATTAGCTAGGAAGCATCTAAACAAACAGGCCCACATTGCGGGCCTATCTCGTAATCAGTACTTAAGCACCTATATAATTAATGATGGAAGTGAAAATAATTTTCACCGGGTTAAATAAGCAGATTCCGAGGCATAATCGTAATGAGTAATTGAGGTATGTTAATTTTTAATTATTATTTAACTGGAGAAGCCAAAAAGCTTGCCCCTAGTTAAATGTTGTGGCAGAATCTACATTATAAATTAACGAAATAAGTTAAATTGAACCATGTGTTTGCTTTAGGGATACGGAGTTTTAATGTTTATACTGAGAAAAGGGGCTAGTTATACAGGGTAATAAAGAACTTATCCAAAATTTAAAAAAATTTACACTAACACTAAAAAAACACTATCGAAACGACGATTGTAAAATCGGATTTCAGTATTCGGCTCTCCACGCGTATTGCAAATGACGCTAGAGACCACAGTTGTCCAGCAGTGTAATGTTTGTAAATACTAAAACTGCAATAATTTTTTTCTAGGAAACTAAGGATTTTACAAATTTTTTTTTACTATTATCACTCCATTTCTCATGCGACATCTATTCCCAAAAATTTTTAGATAAGTTGTGAATCACCCTGTATTATAAATATTCTTAGTATGAAGAATAAATAGCTTAAAATAAGTCTAAATATTTGATTATAAAGAATTAGGTGCAAACCCAGCGCATTCGCCATTTTATAGATACACTACAAGATGTTCTCAATATTTATATATTTACTTTAAACTGTTGTGCACAATATTCAGACTAAACAACTGGGAAATCGTTTCTTCTGCAGGGATAATACAGCTGCGGACAACAAAAAGTTTCAAGCCTGAACTGCATGCGGTCTTTTAAAAAACATTATTTTATTAATTTCGTATTTTGATCCCTTTTAAATGTATTAGTGAGACAAATTTTTTGTCCACAACTGTACTCGTATTGTTTGTTAAAGGGAAATAAAATTGCTGATTTTTGCATTAATGTATCGTGACATTTTTGTGCAGGCATATTTCGGCACAGTAATTAAACTATGTAAAATGTTTTTCGTTTATAATTTAATACGTTTAACGACTTTATCGTCAAAATTGATTGCCCGGAAATAGCGGGAATGTATAAAATTAAAGTAGAAACCCTTTACGTCCATATTTTTTTCCAAAGCAGTCCATATCCCGATAAATAGTCCTGCCAAAGAAGAATCGTTTCCCGAAAGTCCCATTTTTTATTAATCTCGGGATCAAATTTAAATGACCCTATGGATCAAAGGAGGTTAAAGGTTAACGACCTCGGATGTCCAAGAACATTCACTTGTGTCATCTGAACATTTGATAATCAATTATTGGTAAATTTTCAAGGTATGTCACGTATTTAGTGGTTTTTGATATTTTTTATTGTTTCTAATGTTGCTTCTAGGAATTTTTATATATTTTGAGTTATTTTGATATATGGTGAGGCATCCTAAAATTATTATTATTATTGAACAAGTAACCAGACTTGTAATTAGCTGTGAGAGAAACCTACATGTAACTAACATTCTTCCAACCTCAATTTATTTTTTATATAAGAATAATATGTGGTACAGGTTACTTGAAAAAGAAAATGATTTTTCACTTGAAGACATTTTTGGATAAAGGTTTATAAAACTCTACTTATTTTTAACATTTTTTATCAGATACCTACCTACCCAACGTTAAATCACCTCACTCTGTATATAGACTTTTTATTTAAACACTACTTACCGACTACCTATATTAATCGTAATTTTCATTAATTGGAACTAAATCAAATGCTTTGACACATGGTACATAAAAAAACCGAGTAGAAAAACGTTAATCGAACAAATTTATTTACCTATGTATAATTATACCCACAGGGAACTTAGCAATATTTTTTTCTATTTTATTGGCAAGGACAACATTCTTTTATCTCTGTAGTGATCTATAAACGTCTGTGTAAAGAATACCTACAAAGAAAAATATATCACGAATATGAAACCGGTTTAGGTAGTAGGGACGGTATAATAAACTATGTGCCATAGGTACAAAAGATATTATTACAAGTAGTTGCTAGGCAACCAAAATCTCTTAAACACAACGCATTCAGTTGTTTTTTCCTAGTCTTTGCCGCACAGTTGATTGTAATTAAGTACAATAATACGAGTACAAGTATAAAATTGGATATGATCGCGACAAGTCTTAAATTAAACAAATCCCAATTTTCTGATCTCCATGTAATATGCAATTATTTTATTAGGAACAATGCAAGAGCGTTATTAAAACGTAAAGGAACATCATTTTATGTTATACTATACATTCCATTCATAGGATTGTCCAAGGTTTATAGTACGTCTTGTATTATCTTTTAAACCAGTTTTGGTCTGTTAAAAAATACACTTTCACGATTAGGTGAAACCTAACCACCTCACCTCACCTTTTTCTACTTCCGTTATACATAGATAAGCATCTTACCTTACTATTTTCTGCTGTTTTGAAATTTGTCTAGTCAATGTGGAAGTAATTGATTGAATGTTAATATCACTATGGCACTTTAAAACGTAAATTTAAACTTTTAACACTAAAATGAACACTATTTGGTAAAATTTGAATTTAGCACAATTATCTTAAAAATACCACATTAAATAACACTTTTTCAGGGTTGCCAACTGCACGATGAAACATTGTTTAGGAACTACACTAAAAATCATCAGAAAATTTCAAAAAAATTGTTTAAGTATAATATTTCTTTGAAGTACGACGATAAGAGAGAATATTATTCGAATAGTTCGCTATAATCTAACCTGCAGTCAAAACACTAAAACTATAAGTTAGACAACTAGCTTTAGTTCTGAACCGCGGTTCCTAGATGGAGGAACATAACCATGTCCATATTACTTTACATCATTTATTTCCTAGAACTGGTTTGTAATTATTATTATCGTTAATTGTACAAACAGCAGCTTTTGTGTTAAATGTAAGGGCTGTTCAACGTATTTTGTACACATATTGGTCTGCGCCATCTAGGAGAAGCGATCTAGAATTAATGTTGGTTGTTTCTTGAACACTGGCGCTATATATATACAGTGGACTGCTAAGACTGATTGTGAGCAAATCAGTTGTCCTGCCATCTGCTAACCAGCGCGAACATTACGTAGTAGTTCATGATTTGATGAAGGATGCGGCTTGCTACGCAAATCATTAAAACATGTAATATAACCTCAAAATCCCAAAATCTAAAAATAAAAAAAGTGTTCTTGGAAACAGTCACGTTGCGAAAGTGTTATCGATTTTTCTCCCTACTGTGCAAGATGAGTGATGCTAAATTAAATGGACACTCAAAAATGAACGGAATCGAAGGCAAAACACCTTTTCTGATAGGTGTTGCAGGTGGTACTGCTAGTGGAAAGGTAAAATACATTTATTATTCAATACTTCTCTAAGCTTTTATATCTTTTAGAGCACAGTATGTAAGAGGATAATGGAAAAACTCGGACAAGTCGACATGGATCAAAAACAGAGACAAGTAGTGTGCATATCGCAGGATAGTTTTTACAGGGAATTGACTCCTAATGAAATTGCCAAAGCTGAAAAAGGACAGTTTAACTTTGATCATCCCGACGCATTTAATGAAACCCTCATCTACGATACGCTGACAGACATACTGGCAGGTAAAATGGTCCAGATACCTACATATGACTACAGAAACCATTCCTTGTAAGTTCAAGTAGTTGCTACAGATGCTAGTGTTAAAATTAAAATGGTACAAAAAATTTTAAAGTTTTGTTTTTAGAAAATCTGTTTAAATTTAGCCTTTCGTTATAGGCGTAAAGACGAGATACTGACCATCTACCCTGCCGATGTCGTTTTGTTTGAGGGTATATTAGTTTTTTACTTTCCGGAAGTGAGAAGTTTATTCCACATGAAACTGTTTGTGGATACTGACTCTGATACTAGGCTTGCCAGAAGAGGTGAGTTTTTATTTATGAAAAAATACATTTATTTATTTTCGTTCTTATTAGTTCCACGTGATATAAATGAAAGGGGACGGGACTTGGAACAGGTCCTGAATCAGTACATGAATTTCGTGAAGCCAGCTTTTGAGGAATTTTGTTCACCGGTAAGTCGTAGTTGATAAAACTGTGTGATAATATGTGGCGCGATGTTTTATCATCACTTTTGATAACTGATTTAGGAATGTGTAAATACGTGTTTAAATAAACTTCCTTGATAGGGACGTACTTATGCTTAGTTTTGTTTGCTATTTAACTGAATCAAATTTTTCAAATATTGTGGATATATTTGTTTTCGAAATATACTTCAGCACTACAATGTACATTGTGTGGTCCCTAAATACATTAATCCACTTGATCTTTGGTTATATTTTAACGAAAAAATATTACTTATTTTATTTGAAAAGTGAGTAATTTTCAACATACTAATTTTTGTCTGAAACCTTATTACCCCGTTGAAATATTTTTCGCAGAAATCCAAAATGGCTGATGTACAACTCTCTTGAAATATTTTTTTGTGTGCTCACTTAATGTTTTTTATTGCAACAGTTGGCAATGCTGACACTGATTTGTTGTTGTCATTCACTTTGTTCTGTTTATTTGCAATCTCAGTTAATCTCACCTAATTGACCAATCAGCATAACTGACATTATCTGAGATCTAGGTAAATAAACCACGGCTATTGGCTGGAAAAATTTATTAAAATAATGTTTTTCACATTAAAAAATAATTTTTGTAGATGGATATGATTTTTATAACCTTTATAATCATACTGGATGAGGGAAAAAGTGTAAGTGTTAAACCACACTGCCAAACACCATAAAAACTAATAATCTTCACTACTAGATGGTACTGAATAAACTTAAAGTCCCTAGATTGACTATCTAGGAACTTTAGACAAATTACACTGTTTCAAATTTTAATGATTTACTTTGTCCCCATAAAACAATTTATAAAAAGTGTATGTGACGAAACTTTAGTTAAAATAAACTTTCTTCTAGTCAAAACTGAGTGTTTGATCCCACCGTCAAAATAATGACTCATTTAAACGACAATTGATAATTTAAATTAAATTCTGCGGAAATTTACTCCGTATGATTTTTTCAGACGAAGAAGTTTGCCGACGTGATAATACCGAGGGGCGCGGATAACAACGGTAAGTGACTGCACACTTATTACAAAACCCCTTCCCTAGAGCGAACTACACATAACTCTGCTTAATAATTTTGCCTCATCGCAAGACAGCTTTTATGGTGGATGGTAATAGTCACTGCAATACCATTTCCTATCTCATGTGAATATTTTAAAATTCATCATCACATATCATGCTGCGTCTTCTCTATAAGACAGTCGGATTATTTGCATGAATGAATGTCGTGGTCTTAATGGTGTCTTATGCTGGTAAATAACTACCTGTTAAGTGTAAATAAAATTTTGTTGCAGTGGCTATTGACCTAATAGTTCACCACATCTGGGACATTTTACATGGAAACCATCAAAATGGGTTCAAGCTAATGGCGGTCGTGCCCGAGCAAATCTAGAAGTGTCTTTATTCGCAGGGCCTAGCGTCAATTCACTAAACGTGAACTTTGTAATTGTACCTAACTAGCGACATGCGTGTCGATCTCGTAGGTTTTTCTTTGTTTTATTTCTGTTGTTATTAATATGTTTTGCGGAAATTCGGTAAGTAATATTTTTCAGTATTCTCAAAGATTTTAATCACTTTTCTTTTATTGTAAATTCTTAATTGCACTGAATACCAAGTTAAAATTAAAATGTTCTATTTTCATGATTTCCCATGAATTGGCGGTAGGTTTTTTTATATTTGTAACTAAGGATAAAGCTTGATTTTTTTTGTTAATTCACGCTTCTACCTAGTACGTTTAGGTTATTTATTTTTATAAGTATTTCATACATTGTGATAATTAAGTTTTTCCCAATTTTTACGGCATAAAAAAATGAAAAGGGTATTTATAAAAGGAATTTAAAAAATTCAGTTATTGAACTTTAGAATTTCAATACTATTACACATTGTAGTTAGAATTTGATGGAGTTTGTGTGAATATTCACCGGGTTCTAGCTGTACAGGGTGTTCCAGAAATAGGTGCCAAAATTTCAATTTAACACACCGATCCCTAAAATATCAAGTTTTCCTGTACTAGTCTTTCAAAATTTAACTAAACACATTTTGCTGTCAAAACTATAAGATTTTCGGGAAAAAAGTTTTATTACTATTTATAAGTATTTTTTTTTATTAAAATTAATTTCTGGGACAAACTGTATTTTAATGCTGAATATTTAAAAAATTGGCATTATGCACGATTCAAACAAAAAATGTGATGTAAAATAAAACTACATACAGGGTGCATCAATTTATAGGCGCTAACAAATGTGATTATTGATTGGGACACTAATTTCCCAAAATTTGCAAGTCCTAGGCCTGCTAAAATTTTGTTGGGTGCCATTAAAAAAATATGCATATTTTTGCTTATTCAGTATCTAATATGACCTTATTCTACAGCTTAGTAAGATTAATTGTTTTTGAAAATGTACATGTGCTGTGCATAAATTCTGAAAAAAAAAATTGATGAAAAAATAACGTTGAAATAAATGGAAATACACCAGCAACCTTGATTTTGGCTGAATTTGAACAATAAAGTTACAAATACATACAATTCTTGAAAATTTGGAACAAAAAGAGGCTTCGAATTTGCGACTTTAAGGAAGTTATAGATTTCAAATGTGCATATTGGCAGATTCCGTCTAATAAAAAATATTTCATCTTATCTATAGATTGAGACACCCCTGTATATGGAATAGTTATCTGTAACGAAAATATCAAAATTTTAATGTTTCATGGAATTCCAACAATTCAAACTTTAATCTGAGTTAGAAATATAATGCAAAATATAAAATACCAAAAAAAATGATATATATAACTATACAATTATATCCAAAGTATTAGCCTTTAATGTTTAGCATTTAAGCTGGTATAAGTTGATTTTCCATTTTATAAAAGCTTACTCGGTTACTAAGAATATGTTATTTTTTATACATGTACTAATTCGGAATTATTTTGTGATATGATAAAGATCATCAATTTTAGTGAAGGCTTGAATTAACACAATCACAATGGAAGAAAGAAGCATTGATTTTGGGCTTTGGTAAATTTCTGACAATAGGACAAAGTATCATCCTAATGATAAAACCCGGTCTGAGTGTGAAAATTTGTATTCTTGCCATATTAACATAATATAAAAGAATGAAGTTAAAAAGGCTCGTAAAACAGTATCGTTAGTAAAGTATCATTGAACAAATACATATATGAAAAATATATATGGTTTTTAGGGCACATTTTCTATTAATCTTGTTTATGTCAGTCAATCAGTTCAACTTAAGAATGAGAATACTAAGTGGGGACCTTCCCAAAAGAAACCCTGTCACTTTTAGTGATAGGAATACTTTGAGAGAGTTGCCATCTTGTACTCAAAGAAAGCTGTTACTCATAAAGGGGGTTACAATAAAAAAGCTAAAAAACTTCAGTAATTACGCAAGCTTTGCACGATCGTTTACGAGTAACAAGAAGTTTCATTTACCAAATCAAAGCTTTTTTCTTTTGCGGAAACGACTGAAATATTCTATATATCAACTTTGCAGGGCCGTGATTTTGTTCTCGAAAATATACATATAGTAGTTCGTAATAAGACTGGCTGAAACACATAGCACAACTTGTCAATTTTAGTCAACTGAACCAATTTTTGTACATTGTATCTTCTCGGAGTTGATTTTAAACTTGCTCTGGATGGAAGTGTCAGTGATGTGATGATAAAAAATTAGAGTTTATCCGATTAAGATATTCCCTAATAGTGTACGTGCCTTTGCTTTTCCTAATCGCTCGAGTAGTTAAAATCAACTCGGTTTTGTTATGTAATCATTAATTTGTGTTTATGTTCAGTAATATTAAGAAAATGTTTAACTGTGACCCTCAAAATATATGTATTATCGTATATATGATATCTAATAAAGATCTTTATAAGTACCTTGGTAATTAATTGTAAGTGTTAACAAATACGACAAAAAATTGTTTAGTAGGTGCGTTACATGTTGTTAATAAATTTATGTTTTTAAAAAACCATTTAACAGCCATGATAAAAATGTTAAATATTTTGAAATTTTATATTTAAGAAATAACTCGTTGAAACTGTAGTGAAAAATTTTTGTTCCAAATTTCACCTCCCCTGACATTGATGCCTATCAAAATGGACGTATATATAAAATTATTTTGCAGATTGAATCTAATTTATGAATAATTTTGGGTCAATTTAAAAATTTTCACATAAAATTTATTCGATCTGCAAAATAACCTTCGATACATCAATTTCAAAGAAAAAAAAGTTCCAACTCTTTTTTTAATTCCATCCTTATGAATGAGGGTCATATTTATATAGATCCTACCTTTGACCTTTACAAACGCATAAGTTTACTTTCTGAAAAAAATATTTATTTTTTTTTCATGTAATTTTTGTACCCCGCTACTGGACAGACTAGTGTTACCCTAAACAGCCCACGCTTGCCGTGAGCGATACCCAGTTGGGACATACCCATGCATTGTTGTCAAATTGTATCTTTTTTCTATTCAAAAACTCAGTTTTTTCATAATACATATAACAGAGAAATTTAACAACGAAGGCAGACAAACACTATACCGTCACCAACAGTAAATTAACTTCACAAAACACTGTACAACTTTAAATTTCACTTTGAAATTAAAACTTGATAAAATTCCAGTAAAAACTATTTCATGCAAAAAGTTACGCAATTAGCCATCATACTACAAGAGAATTGAAGGGCAGTTTCGAAAACTGGAATAAATTTCCTATAACATAACTTTTCGGAAAAAAAAATGGTAATTTATGGTTTTTTAGATAATTGACGGCTAAATTAGAAGTATTCACGAACTTCATAATCATGATTAAAACGGAAATTTTTTTTTGAAGTTTTCTTGGATTTTTTACCGCTTAGCAATGGCTTAGCCGAAAAAAAAATTTTGCAGGTCCGTAGACTTCAACCGAAAGATCTTAAAACTAGAATCTTAGAGCTTCAAAATGTTTTTTTTTTATTCCTGATACAACCATTTTTCACCTAAATACAGGCTGTCAAAAATCACGGAAAAATTTCATGAATTTTTTTGACCCTTGAACAGCAAAAATATTTATTTCAATACATAAATTATTTTTACTTACAGTTAGTGCTGTATTCTTATCGACATATTAATGTTAGTTATATTTAATATACCATAAAAAAAATATTAATATTTTAAAACTCCTAAAACACATAGCAAAGTGATACAAAAGCAATATATAATATTTCTATAAAATGATTGTTATTAATTTCATGTTGTTACTTTAGTAAGCTATCAACAGATTTTGGGAACTGTCCAGTAGCGGCGTAGACAATAGTATTCAGGATTATCCCTAAAACACTGTCCCCCATTTATACTTCTAATTCTGAACAGATAAATGATAATACATACTTATAAATTTCATAAAAAATATAACCCATCAATACAAATGTCAGTAGTAGCTATATTTCCAGTAAATATTTGATTTTTTGTGTTATCTTCAAGTGGCTACTTAACTTTTTTGCAACAAGTAAACTAATCATGTTCGATGAAAAGTAACTATTAGGCTATTTTAGAAAGCAAAAAAACAGCTTGGGTACAAGTGATTAGTGACTGAAAGCTACTTTGCCGCCTTGAATAGTGTAGTGCTCTTTAAATTTACTTAGTTTTAACAAATAAAATCATTTGAGTTGTGTGTTTGTTGGATTTCCTGTAATTGTCGTCATTTTTTGCAGTTGCCATAGATCTAATCGTGCAGCATATAAGGGAAATATTAAACAATAGGAGGAGCTCCGAAGAGAGGAAAATCACCCCGCCGAGAATATTGCCAGTTTCGCCTTTACAGTCTCCCGCCAAGAGGAACTTATTAGGAAACGATGCCGTTTTTAAAAGGCCACATTAAACTACACAAAAATTGTTACATTAACGCAGCTTCTTAAGAATTGTGTGATCAAAATAGTTCGTAGTGTAAGTAGTGTTTTTTTTTTTAAAAGGTCATACTGAGTTTTTTCTAGGAAACATGTTTTCATGTGCTTCTAGCAGTTCAAATATTAACTAAAGTAATAGTACTTAATTTCTATTTCTCTTAATAGTGTGCGAAAATGCTCCACACCGCATGAAATCTTATTTTCTTGGCACAAATTGTGTTTTTTTAACGTAAAATAACGTATACATTAATTTTTTTACCGGTTATTTGTCTAGTAAATAAACCCAATAAGACAGACCATATCATACAAGAATCCTATATTTTTAAATTACACTGAGAAAACGTTTTAATGCGTAAAATTAATCATAAATTTTGTGATCATTCAAATTTAATTTGGTTCGGGAAATAAATTTTATGAGAGTACAAACGAAATGATATAACGATGCAGAGGTGTTTCATTATTTAATTTAAAAAATGAAAATAAGTATTATTAAGTATAAGAATTTTATTTTCGTTGTGAATGTTAGTCCTTAAATTTATTATTTTAAACAGATTAGATCTGTCTAGTGAATCTGTGAAGGTCCAAAACCACTAAATAATTTTAGTTATCTACCGTAAATATATAAACTATTCTATTTTCTCGTTAAAAATAAATATAGGTATGACAAATAGTTTTTACCCAAATCGTGGCAGTTGAAAAATCGTTTACCTTATTTTATTTTTTAATAATCCTTAATATACAAGGATATCAAAAGCTCGCTAAAGACATGTACTAAGGTACCGCATATTTGAATTTAAAAAGATGTGTAACATATGTTTTAAAGTAGACAATAATTCTAAACTAAAATATCAAAATTTAAAGCAAAATTCTTTCTCAAAAAGTGTATATCGTTCGTTTGTATTTTTATTTTCACTTGTTATAGTTGTGTATATAGCCAGTTTGTTTCTTAGATTGGATGTGATACTTTGCCAAATATTTATATTTTATGTTAGTTAAATTTTGTATCATGTACTTTTGCGTTTATGTTACTGAAATAAAACTAATTTATATAAACCAATCGTATTATTTATAAAAGAAAAGTATACTTAAAATTAAATTACAACACCTACAAATTCTATATTACTGGTAGTATAGCTCGATATTCATCCCGTCATGAATTTCATCTGTATCGGATGTTAAGAAAAACAATATTTTATATGAACTTACTGTAGCTTCGTTATTTGAAATTTAACTTCGTCGTGAAAAAAATATTTTGAATAGACGACAATAAAAAGCAGATGAATCAAAACAACTACTAGCGCTGAGTGATAAAAGCAAAGTACTTTGAAACCTTGAACGATAACATGTCACAATTACTAAGTGAAAACAAAAGGATACAGTCTTGTAATTGAATGTGGTCCTTAAAAGTGGTATACCATTTCTTCAGGACAATTTTATCCCATTTGGTTCCAGTTTGGGCAGCAATTAATTTTTTTAGATCCCCTACAGTGTCGTCTGGATTGCATTTCACTCTAACCTTTTTACCCAGCCGATCGTTGCACGTAATCTCGATCATTTTGTATGATCACAAAGATATTGGCAAGTAATATATAATTCACAATAATAAATAATATAAATTTTTATCAATATTTGGGACTTATTTAACAGTAGTTTTAATAATTACTTTTGATAATAAACAGAAACGTCAACTATCTAGATTTTGTCATACGAACACAGAATTTTCATTACATCGAATGTTCACTACCAACATTTCATTACTTTTTCAAATAATAATAATATTACAGTTTTGTTATAATTTAAATCAATAAATTTATAACAGTTTTTCTTATAAAGAATTCTGTTTTTTGTTAAGATAAAAGTGTAATTAATGAACAAATTTTAAAATGAAAGCATTGGTTATCAAAATTATATGTAGTGGGATTTATATTTACGGCGTTGGACGGGTAGGTACACTCTTGTTAAAATTGGGTGTCTGCGTGGAGCTTTTGCTCTAAATACACGAAAATGAATATTCCAAATGAATATATTTCGAACGCCGAAGATATAGCAGATGGGGTGAGTTTTTAATTAAATATCCATAGAGTTTTGTATATACTTTGATAAATAGTTTAAGTCAAAAATTTAAGTTTTTCCAAAAAAACTTGTTTAAAAACTTAAATGTCACGTCACCTTTCCACTTTCTGTAACAAAGTTATTTTTACAATAATCAACAGGTTCAACAATTACATTTCTACTTATAACAATAATTTTGTTATAAAAATTAGTAACTCGTTTACAAAAATATCTTGCTAAAAAAATATAGGTTATGTAGTTTTGCATGGATTAATAAACCATATGGTTATTATCAATAAGGGCAATAAATATTATCATTTATTTCACAAACTAATAGGAAATTAACAGTTTAAATTTGTTGGTTTGTTTTAGTAAGTTTGAATAGCTACAACTGTGTAAAAATTTCATTAAAAAGAAGGGTCACATTCTTAAAATAGCTGTAGGTTATCTAAGACATTTTTTCAAATTATTTTATTTTAGGTTATTAGGAAACTGAAACATATCTTGCCAACTTTAGCCCGAGTATGTTTGATTTCTACTTTCTTGGAAGATGGGTTACGCATGTGGTTCCAATGGTCCGAGCAAAGGGAATACATGGATATGTCGTGGGGGTGTGGTAAAATTTTGGCCACACTTTTTGTCCTTATTAATTTGGTAGGGCAATTAGGTGGTTGTGTTATGGTTATTATTAGGTATCGTGTGAATATTGCTTGCGGAGTTCTCTTCTTCATTGTCGTTTTGCAGGTGAGCGGTCCTAATTTTTTACTTATTGCCATTTGTAAGAAATTTATTACATGTATTTTTTTAATGTAGGTGCATTGTAGTGTCTAAAAGTTTTGCTGTAAAATTTTGAATCTGATTTTTACGCATATTAATTAAAACTAGACACAGGATATCTTCGATGTTTTGTATAAGAATAATTAGTATCATTAATCAAAAATGTGTGTGTGTGTGTGTGTGTGTGCATAAAACTAAATATTAATTTTGTTAAACTACAACTGATCATTAATTTCAAATAATCATTGTGTCAAGGTTAACATGACAAGTTATAATTATAAAGCTTCTGTTAGGTAATATTTTTGATAAACATAAACAACAGATTTATCTCTCATCAATTTTGCTTGTAATGGTTACGCTCAGTAAATTGATAATAATTGTGCCGTAGCTCAATACATTCAAGTTTTATTTTAGGAACATGGACTGTTCTTACTTATGACTTGTTTATAATTATTGTAGTAAATATGGCACTGAATTTTCGTTTCATTTTGTTTGATTAAATTCGATTAATCAACTCGTCTGAGGTTATTATCGATTATAGTTAAAAACAGTTATTAATAAATGTTTTACATAGCTCTAAATTAGTCGTGGAACAATTTTTTCTTGTTTTCAATGTGTCAGTATTACAATTCTGTGGGAGTATGATAAGTGGACTTATCTCTAATATAATTTGGCATTTTAAAAACTCAATCTCTATAAATATACATCTTAGTTGAATATTTACTGAATGTATTAAATTTTGTACATTGTCAACAAAAAAATATATTTGATTAAAAGAGCATATATTTGGTGAACCATTTTTAATACTGATAAGTGATAACTATGTAGTGAATGATAACACTCTGTATAACTATAATTTCAATTATATCACATAAACTTCTGTTGTCTAGAAATCATGCTTTAAACAATTATTTTATTTTCGCATTATTGGATTTACATCAAAATTTAGACAAAGCATTAAATATGCAAATAGTATGAGGATGAACATGAAAATAAATTGACTAGTTATTTTTAAATTCAAAAATGGTAATTTATGGAAGCAATCATTTATATGCAAAAATATTCTACTACAATTTATGCTCAAGTCAAAAAATAATTAATATTTAACATCAAGTAAAAAGTATTAAGCTTGTATTTATGCAAAATACGCATGCAATTAAAATTTAGTTTTATTTTCATTTCTCGTTATTTTATCATTTTCTAGGTTGAAAAAAATCTCGATTCTGAAAATTTCAAATCGATATTTTAATTTCTAAAGGTCACATAATTATTTTAACATTCAAAGTAGTGTAGCTATATTTTCGAGCGACCTCTAAAAAATAAATATCAACGAACTAATAATTTTTTTTATTGAATTTGATGAACAACAGAATAGAAATAAATTATGAGACACTTAAATTTTAAAAAATTAAAAAATTATAAATATTTGATACTCACAGTGCGGTAGTAAATTTTGCCTCGAGAAATTTTTTAAGTATCTCGTGATTTATTTCTATTCTTTTGTTCATCAAATTCAATAAAAAAAAATTATTAGTTTGTTGATATTTATTTTTAGAGGTCGCTCGAAAACATTTTAGGTACACTACTTTTAAAGTTAAAATAATTATGAGTGACCTTTAGAAATTAAAATATCAATTTGAAATGTTCAGAATCGAGATTTTTTTCAACCTAGAAAATGATAAAATAACAAAAAAAATCAATTTTTGACGATTTTGAAAAAATTTTTAAAAATCTTGGGCGACCTCTAAAAAAATTTTTTTTGAGCTGATTTCTTGAGGAGGCTCTTAAAACATTATAAACTAACATATTTTCACGAGAGACACGAAAAAAATATTCATTTTTTTTTGGGTCACCCTAATGTATTTATTGCAAAAATAACAGTAATAAAGTTTACGTAGAGATATGCATATTTAGTTCTTTATACTTTGCTCGAGCATTAGTATTAAAACAGGAAATATCAGATATCTAATCCTATAATAAAATAAGCAAACTAATTTAATCATTTAAATAAACTATATCTGTGAAATTTGAGAGTGTCATAATTCTGAATATTTTCTCAAATTCTGTGTATATCCGTGAACGATAAAGAATTTCTGATCTTAACTGCTTATTGTGCTTAGGATGTTTCATTTTTTAAAACCCTTTGAACATTTTGTGTCCTACTACTTTGTCCATTGTTCAGATAATTTATGTGATATTGTCTAAAATTGTTGTTTATTTAAATAATTCTGGCATATTAGCACATGATAGCTTTGTTCGTAAACCTTCCACTGCTGCACTAGTGCAGTAATACGTTGTTCGTTTATTGCAGTGTAGCCAAGTGCAGGTATAATCCAGGTGTTCGAAAAGTCCAGTGTAGTGTAGTAGTGCAGACACTACTACACTGGCTAACAGGGTGGTGTAAAAGTGTAGTGTAGTATATTTGTGGCGCGAAAATGAAACTTTTATCACAAATGTCACATCTTGGTAGATATTTTAGATAGATTAAAAATTTGCACTTTCTTTTATTTTTTTGTAAACAGGTCTCCAATAAAACATGAATTTTTATTTTTTTACGAAGGTAATCTTCATCATCTGATTCCGATTCGCTTCCAGAATCACTAAATAATTCACTCATCACAAATATTTTCTCCATGATTTACAATTAGGTTATACCAGTTTAAGTTTACCCAAATTGAATTAACGAACAGCCAAATGTTTTCTCGTGGTGCACGTGCACGTGCAAGTGGTGCACAATTATTTTAGTGTAACACTGAATTCCACTACACTACACTACACTACACTTTGTGTAGGTTTACGAACAAAGCTGATATTAGTTTGGGATAAATATAACCTATAAATCAAATGTCATATCTTTAAATGGCATTACTACTGATGCCTACCAACACGAGGCATTATTTTGTACCTACTTTCACAAAATGACCTACTAATCTGTAGGTGTTTTTTACTTCATAACCAATGATTTTGAGTTTTTCAGATTATACACAAAATAAGTCAATTTGTGAGGTAATCCAAAAATGCTTAATCTGAAAGTTACAGGATGTTACAGTCACAGTTTTAAAATAGTTTTACATTAATATATGAGGACTGAGGAAGGACCTGATTCAAATTTTTATATAAGGTGCCGGGAAGCAACAAAAGTTCTTCCATACATCAGTGGCGTATAGGGAGGAAGTGTGATCTAAGGATCTGTTAAGAAAAACTACTGATCATTTTAATTATGCACAAAAAATGCCTTTTCTACAATGTTTTGCCTGTTCAGACTTTCCACTATTTTTAAAAATAAATTTAAAAGGTTTTTAATCTACCCAAATTTATCCAGTACCCAGGAATTTTTAAACACAATTTGAATAATATAATTTAATACTTTGTGTATGTATGTGACGTGTATATCTGTATTTTAATGTAACCTTTATGACTTCTGTAATCATTTTGTGCATCAATCAATAATAATAATAATAATAATAATAAATGTATATTTTGGTGTAATCTTTACTTCTTCAGACATTGGCGTACAGCATCTTATGGGACATGCAGTTCCTGTTCAGGAACCTCGCCCTGATCGGAGCCCTCTTGTTGGTATTGGCGGAAAGCCGGGGCGAAGCTAAGAGTCTGTTTGCGGGCGTACCTTCTATGGGCGACAACAAGCCCAAAAATTACTTGCAACTTACCGGTCGCGTATTGCTGGCCTTCATGTTCATCACGCTCATTCGATTTGAATTCTCTTTCCTACAGGTAAAAAGGGAAAATGTAGGTCCATGTCAATAATAAACGGAATACTTTTTCTAGATTGTGCTGGATTTGCTGGGATCGGCGCTCATGGTTTTAGTAACGATCGGATACAAAACAAAGCTGTCGGCGTTGATTTTAGTTCTGCTGCTCACAGTATTGAACTTCTACCACAACGCCTGGTGGTACATTCCGGATTATAAACCGTTACGCGACTTCCTGAAGTATGATTTCTTCCAGGTAAAATTTATATTTCTTATGAGTATTGTATACAGGGTGATCTTGGAAGGGTGGTACAAAAAAAATGGTAAAATTTTGGATCAGCCTGTATATAAAAAAAATCCTTTTAACTTTTAATCTTGTGTATTGCAGACACTGTCTGTGGTCGGAGGCTTACTAATGATAGTGTACCTTGGGCCGGGAGGCGTCTCTATGGACGAGCACAAGAAGCGGTGGTAGATTAGTGTCATTCCAATTAGTTTACGTGAACAAATTGCGGTGGAGTTCAGTCGACAATTACTCATGAACTTATTTTTTCTATTTGAAGTTTTTACACATCTTAAAGAAACTGTGTTAAAATTACTATAGTTAACAATTTTACATGCAGTTTTTTAAATTTCATCTTCATTTTTAATTTATATCTATTTAAAAAATTGTGTATATATTTTTTATTGTGTGTAATAGTAATAACGTTCATATATTTTCTGACTTGACTGTGTGAAATTTTAGATTTGTAAAAAAGGTACAAGACAGTGCATTATTTATTAAGTTTACTCGTTTGTATTGTGCAAATCTGTCGGAGCACCCTGCAAATCTTTTTTATATGGTGCGCTCAAATTTTATAATGTCTCTTCCATATATATCATGCGTTACAATTATATAGACTTTATGTTAAATCACTGGGTTGTTAATAGGACTTAATAAATACATATTTTTACAATTCAGACTAGCTTTTATTTAAAAAACTTACAACGCCCCGAGCTATCTTCTTATAGAGTTGACTGTCGCAGCCCTCGGTGTTCTCCACGACGATCGGTACCCCTCTATCTGTCGTAGACGATATTTCTTCATTCAAGGGAAAACTTCCCAAAACACTGCACTCTAAATCGTTGGCTAACTCGTTCGTCCCTTCTCCAAATATTTTTATATTTGTTGAACACGAGGTACACTTAACAGAACTCATGTTCTCTATAATACCTATCAACGGCACGTTTAACTTTTTGAACATCATCGCACCTCTCTTAGTTACTTGCAAAGCAGCCGACTGTGGAGTCGTTACCAACACAACACCTTTACAAAAAAAAATGCAGTAGAATGCAGTTTTTCTATAAAAAGTAACACTTACCTGAAATTGGCAAATTCTGTATAAGACTCAAAAGAGTATCTCCCGTACCTGGAGGTGTATCGACTATCAGGTACTCAATCTCACCCCAGTCTACCTGGCGCATCAGCCTTTCCAATGCTTGCATAACCATCAAGCCTCTCCATATCACAGGAGAATCTTTTCCAATTAAGAATCCCATCGACATACTAAAATTGAAGTGCCAACAATTACCTCAGTAAATTATAAAAACTATACCATTTAACACCATGGTTTAATAGTGGCTCCATAAGATTATCTTTGGTCAAAAAAGGTTCTTCGTGTAAATTCATCATAAGGGGTATCGATGGTCCAAAAATGTCTGTATCTAGTAAACCTACCCCCTTTTTGGGTTCAATTATTTTCAGTGCTGCAGCTAAATTTACTAAAACCAAGTACCTGTAAAGGGTTAGATGTGTAACTGATTTATAGCTAACCTGAAGCAGTACTTTTACCGACACCGCCCTTTCCAGAACAGACAAGCACAATGTGCTTCACACCCTTAATAGGTTTCTGCTTTGGTAATCCTTTCGCCATTACTTCTTTTCGCCTTTTTTCTAAATCAACATGCTTCATATCAATGGAAAACCATCCTACAATCTAAAAATATAAATTAGTTAAATTTTATCTATTTCCAAAATTAATTTGAAATCATTACCTGCAAATTGCAAGAAGCTGCGAATGACTTATGAAAGCATTTATGAGATTGTTTAATTGCATGGAACATAGTTATTAATTATTTATTTATTTAATATTTATTTTGAATTTTATCCTAACCTCAACCTAAAATTTAAGTGTGGTGTGATTTTTATTTTGTATATGTGAACTATTCTATATCTCTGATGTGAACTACTGCACTTACTAGGGGTTTTCGAATAACTATCAGAGATCAGATCAGGATCAGATAGTCACTAACAACATTAGAGCATATACTACATGGAGGAAACACGCTTAAAGTGTAGACGAGTGAAAGACAGAGAAGAAGATAGTTTGGGTATTATCATTCTCTTTCGCACAGGCGCCTGATTGGCTAACGCAACTCCTTCTACAACGATATGAGAGAGCTAGCGAGTAGGCAAACTATCGCTTTTCTCTACCCCTACAGCACCTCTCCCTCCTTTTTAACACGCGGTGCTTCCTCCATATTCTCATTATTCTTTAATCTCGGTGTGTTTAGTATCGAATTGCTATTCATATTATTTTCTAACTGGCAGTGAATGCAACCATTGTTTATTTCAAAGGCGTGTTCAGCACATTATTGCTCAATACTCATTAAATTGTAATCGGAATGCTAATGAATGCAGCCAAATGTATCNTGATTTTTATTTTGTATATGTGAACTACTCTATATCTCTGATGTGAACTACTACACTTACTAGGGGTTTTCGAATAACTATCAGAGATCAGATCAGGATCAGATAGTCACTAACAACATTAGAGCATATACTACATGGAGGAAACACGCTTAAAGTGTAGACGAGTGAAAGAAAGAGAAAGAGACAGTTTGGGTATCATCTTTCTCTTTCGCACAGGCGCCTGATTGGCTAACGCAACTCCTTCTACAACGATATGAGAGAGCTAGCGAGTATGCAAACTATCGCTTTTCTCTACCCCTACAGCATCTCTCCCTCCTTTTTAACACGCGGTGCTTCCTCCATATTTTCATTATTCTTTAATCTCGGTGTGTTTAGTATCGAATTGCTATTCATATTATTTTCTAAATGGCAGTGATTGCAACCATTGTTTATTTCAAAGGCGTGTTCAGCACATTATTGCTCAATACTCATTAAATTGTAATCGGAATGCTAATGAATGCAGCCCTAGATTATATGAATGCAACCAAATGTATCCATGGATCACGGACCACTAAACACTTTTGCTTTGTCTATTTAATTATGGCGTGTTCCATTTCTGACTTTTTTTAATAATTTGATTTTTAATGTTTATTTAAAAAATTTAAGTACACATTCAATAAGCATTTCAAAATAATTTTGAAATAAAATTGTATCTGAATAATCATACTAAAATAAATTATTCATGGTATGGCTAGTCAATATTTTTGAGTTCGTGGAATGGAAAACGACTTAAAAAATTCACCAAACTTGCAAGATGAGTGATGTATGTAAACTTTGATAGCTAATGGATAGCAAAAGAAATTATCGTTACTTTTAAATATATTTATAATAATGTAGCGCGTAAGTAAGATATTTGGGCATAGTTTTGTAACAATTAAGTTATAGGGAGTAAATCGCTACTCCCTAATTTCTAACCTAAATCTTTAAAGGGAATTTCAAAGAGGATGGGTTATAAAGCAGCTGTACAGGTTTTGAAGTAAGTACCTAGTGTTTTATAAAGAAATATAGATGCTTAATGTACCTACCCTCCTTCTCTAGGCAAGCTGATGATCTAAAGGTTAAAGTTTGTAAAAAGAGCGATTGGTTAAATGATGCTGCTGCTTGGACAGATCAACAAAAGCTACAAACGATATACCATCAGGTGTTGGTCTTAGACTTAGAATATGCATTAGATAAAAAAGTCGAACAGGACTTATGGAACATAGGGTTCAAAAATCACATCTCATCTTTACAAGAACTTGCACGGGATAAAAAGGTAACGACACTACAGTAACAAACGTTAGATATAATGACTGTAAATGTTTTTAGAATCCACATAGATCAGATTGTCAGGCACTTCTAACGTGGGCCTTAGAATCCGCTTCTGGTTTTTATTTGACTTTATTGCAAGAGTTGTGCAATACTTTTGATATTGACTTACCGTTTCGAAGACGAGGCAATGTGTATGGTCAAATAAACCAGGTCCCTGAACAAGCGGATTTGCCTCAGACGTCTTCATGTCTATATATCTGTCAGTATTGTTTAGTTCATTTAGGGGATATTGCTAGGTATAGGAATCAGAGAAGACAAGCCGAAAGCTTTTATAAGTGAGTTTGAACTATTTACCTTTTTCATGGCTTTTGTTCCATTGATTAGTGCTTGATTTATTATAATCACAATTTGTTTACTCGGTTATCTATTAAAAAATAATATTTAGATTATTTTACATTAAATTAGATAATATAATGTAAACAGATTGTTTTTTCATATCATTTAGATGTTTAGATAAAAGTAATAGCGCGTTATCTACATTGACAATAAGACGATTACCATTGGATACAATTAAATTTTATATTACATAGAATAGAATTTGTTAATGTTTTTTCTTTAAGGCAAGCAATATTAGTGTCGCCCACTAGTGGACACCCCTATAATCAGTTAGCGCTGTTAGAGGCAAGTCAGGGAAATAAATTATCAACAGTTTTTTATTATATCAGAGGCATAGCTGTGAAAAACCCTTTCCCTGCCTCGGCCACAAATTTATTGAGCACCTTGAGTTCGGCTATCGATAAAGATAGGTAAGAAAATATTTGAGTTAAAAAAAATTGTATTCTCTTCAAGGTTTGATTTTTGTTGCTAAATTGTATATTTTTTTACGATTTACACCGACTTACCTCTAAATCTATCTAAATTGTGAAAATAATTATTTAAATTATAATAAATAATAATGAAACCTGCAAACTTGACGAAAACGTCAAGTCGCACCTTCTAACGGCGAGAAAAAATTTTTTTGCACAACAAACTAAAAGATATTTCTTCCAGTCCGTCTGAGAAAATTCAAACTAAAATGACCGTAAACGAATTCATTCAACTGTTTCTATGCACCCACGGTTACTTCCACACGATAACCGAGCTGAAACAAGCCGAACTAGCAGTTAAAAGCTTGAACTCTATCATGACAGCGTTAGTGGCAACACAGAGCTTCACCAAGGACATGCTCGTCAAAACGACGATAATCAATTTGTACGCGCTTAAACACCTCGGGTCTGACCCCACCAGAATAGAGGAGTTAACGAAAGACGAGCAGAAGATCAGGGAGTTGATATTGGAACTTATCGCAGGGTCTCTCTGCGCTTTTCTGGTGCCTGTTCATACTTTGAAGATGGACGAAACGCTCCTGGACTATTACGCACTTCCAGCAAGTAAGTAATGACTTCTTAAATAACATTGTAAACGAATTTTATAAAATGTTCTCTTTTTCAGTAAAATTTTTGTTGTACTTTATTCAGAATGAACCGGATGTACTTAAGGAGAAAGTTTTCACAAACAGACTGCAAATTTGGCCGAGTCTGGTCAAACTTCTGAATAACGTCCAAAAGTTTTTAAAAGCGCTGAATTACAATAAATGTAAGTGTCAGATTCTTATGTTCTTATAAATATATTCTGCAGGCAACTATACTACTAATAAGTTTTAGTAAGACATTTTTTTTACATATTTATACAGGGTCTGAAATGAAAGTTACGCCATAAAAAATTGACTTGGTGCACCTTTTATTTAAAGCAATTTTTTGTTTTTACGAGGCATATCCGCAAAGTAAGAGTAAGTACTCAATTTTTTAAATATAGAAACGGCAGTATATTTATGAAAAATTTACATAGAAAAGTACCTCAAATACTATTATGCACTTTCCCCTTCTTTTGTTCTGCATCGCCCTTCATAATGTTTTCAGGATTCCACGGTGCCGCATAACATTAATTGCTTGTCTCTAAATAGCGGTACTACTCATTTTAACATGCCACTACAACAACAGCTCTCAACCGATTGAGACAAATGAAAGTCTGTTCTGCTTCCAACACCTTGGCCTTGGATGCAATGTTGCCACAGAACATCAGAGTGTTAGTCCTCTTATTTTCTGGATGTGTCTCGTAATATTGGGGTTATGGCAGAATTTGTCTTAACCCCTTAACGCCCTGTATAATATTGAACTTTGCAGATACAAAATTACCTTTACCAGAAGACAAAAAACTGCAAGGGTTCTTGCCTTTAACTAGGAATTTTAAGGAATTCGACTTTAAAGAAGATTGTGATGATAACAAAATCGAAAGACTAGTGAGAATGAAACGTATTATAAATATAAGTGTTTGGTTGACTGAGTTAGACATTAACGGGAATAAATTGATTATGAAGTAAGTACGACAGTATTTACAATGTTTTACCACAATTATACGTAAAAACACTATTTTTTAGGAGTGAAAATAATGGAGAACTCATCTTTGAGCCGGGATGTACGCAGCCAGATCCGACGAACGATTTGCTGGAAGAAATGAAGTCGTTCAGCATAACCGAGAACTCGGACACGGTCAAACAGAAAAGTAGATATGGAAAATAAAGTACCGAGTACGAAATATTTCGTCAAACATGTCTATTTTAGGTGCAGAGAAGAAAGCGGGAATTCTGAAACCGCAAGGCTCTTTGGAGAAATCCAGGGAAGAACGGGAGTTGTTGTCGAACTCTTCGAACGCCGTGGACACGGTGGCGAGCGTCACGGTGGCGACTACAACGAATAACAAATCGGAGACCATGAAAAACAAGAGGGGCAAGCAGAACGTCGCGTTGCAGTCGATTTTCAAGAAGATGGAAGAGAATAACAAGCAGGTAAATAATTCGGTGGTTCGTGAGTACATTTACGCCCTGTATAGTAGTTTCGTAAAATAAGAGTTAACGTGGAGTTGTTCAATATTTTTGCTTTTGCGCTTAAACGAAACTTTAATTTGGCAGTATCATGTATCATCATAGTGACCCATAAATAATTTTAAGTATACAGGGTGTTTGTCGCAAATAGAACGTGCACTTCTGAGTTTGAAAGAATCTTAATAACACTTTTTTTATATCGTAGATCTTCTCCAGAAGAAAATATTATTGTATTATTATACCGTGTGTTTTTCTTTTTTTGTATTATTTTTTGTAAATGACTTGTCAGAGACTTAATCTCTATTTCTTTATTTTTGTATTAACTCATTATTTTACTGGTGGCTATTTGAAAAAAATACAATGGCGAAACGAATTTAGTGGTCGTCTTAAGAGGGCTCTATAGCCCTTCTATAGATTTCATTACACAGTTTGTCTAAATATGAATTAATGCACAAATAATAGACTTTCCCCCATTCTAACGCAGGTTTTCTATAAAATGGACTTGGTCTGAAACCCAAATAACATTTTGGTGTAAAGAAATTTGTAATTTATGATTCAAATTACAAATTTCTTGAAAATAAAAAGTAATTTGAGTTTCAAACCGACTCCATTTTTTAGAAAATCTGCGTTAGAATGGAGGAAAGTCTGTTATTTGTGCATCGATTCATATTTAGACAAACTATGTAATAAAATCTATAAAAATGTTTTACTGGCTGGCTATTTACTGTAGAGCCCTCTTAAAACATGCTTTAATAGCGCCATCTGTTGATAGGAAGTTCAACTAAAATGTCATACCACTGTCCTTTTATTTAGTAATAGAGAGAGGGGTATTATTTAAATAAAAAAAATTGCCAGCAAAGAAATTTGAAATTTTTTAAGCTCATAAAAATGTTTAAATATCGATATTTAAAAAGATATTAAAAAGTCGTCGAACAAAAGATAGAAAATATTTTAAAATTTACGACGTACAATTTTTACATTAGGTGAAGTTCAGCGTGGACGAACCGGACCCCGACAAACCCGTCAAATTCGATTCGGCGCCCCCACAACAAAAACCGCAACCGAACGCCCAAAACCAGCCGTTCAACCTCCCCCTCAGGACGCAGTCCTTTAACCAAAACCACCCCGCCTTCCCCATAACGCCCCCCACTCAACCCGACTACCTAACGAGCCTTCGCAACGTGCCTAACATCCAACTAGACAAAGGGACCAAATACCAGTTTCCCAAAACCGACACCTTACCACAGAACATCCCCAATCTGGGCATGCAGATCATGCCGCCGTATCAGAACATCCCCCACGCCCAGAACATGGGTCACAACATGCCCCAGAAACCGCCCAGCGGGTACCAGCAGAACCCCATGCCTCAGAACACCTTCGGTAACCCTCAGATGTCCGCCCCGTATCAGAACATGTCGTTCCCCTCCGCCCACCCCTTCACTGGTTGGAAGCGGGAGGAGATGCCTCCGTTGCCCAGCCCGTCGTGGTGGCAGAACACTAGCCAGCCGCCCCCTCCGCCCGGTCAGAACTACCGGCAGGACGGGTATCCCATGAATTTTCCAAGTTACGCGAACAGCGTGCCGTCTTACCTGCAGCAGTCCGGTTCTATGATGCAGAAGCCGGGGAGTAATCAAGGTACCGGTGATATCTTCGGCTCGCCTTGGGGCAACTATTCCGGGGGGTACTTGAACGAAGGCGGCGAGAGTAATAGCAACCACGGGATGTCGATGAGGCAGGCGATGCTCAAGGAGGCGAACTTTCCCGGAGGGCCTGTGGGGCCGCCCGGAAGCGCTGTAGGAAGGTTGCCTAATGTAAGTAAATTTTTTAAAATCCGATTCGTAAATTTTCTTTTCATTTCCAAATATTCGTTCGTTGAGTCTTATACACCTACTTCGAAGGTGTCGGTGGCATTAACGGTTGATCTGATTATAACGGGTCCAACGGAAGATGACCTTGAAGTCGATCTTTAAGGTCGTTTGGAAGCCCCTGAAAATTTTAAATAGGAATTTCTGTTTTTGAGAACAAGTTAAAACAAAACGTAAAATAGTAAAAATAAGTAAGTACTTGAACAAGAAATAAAATTTGGTAAAAATTGTCTAGAATTTTTTTTTCTATGAATAAAAAAAATTTCTTATGAACGCTTTTTTGTGACTTCTCAAAAATATATTCCCATTCGTTTTTAATTAAGTTGAATATAAAATTATAGACCCAGTGTTGAAAAAAATTGGACGCGAAAATTTTATTGTCCAGAAACTTTTGTTAATCTTCTCCGGTGTTGATTATATCTTTGACAAAATGTGAAAAAATTCATCAAATCATGAAAAAAAGTATGTGTAGGAAAAATTATCGAAATAACATTAAAAAATAATGTTAATATTGTATTTCGATGTCCGTTTAGCCACCTCAAGAAAATAAATTCATACCAAACCCGACGACGGCGCCCGGATACTCGTTATTCAACACCAACAGCTGGACTCCCAATTTAGCGGGACAGTTGAGGAACAGCAAACAGACGGACAATTCCACGAATCACTTACCGCAGCAGTCCCTGTTCAGCGGACACGGGCCAAAGTCCTTGGCGCAGTTGCTGGAGCACCAGCAAAGTCAATTAAACAAAAACGATTTATAGAGTTACCTCTCACTCATTGCGACCTAACCTGTCTTTATTTTATTTATTAAAATCATGTATTTAAATTGTAACTACTTGGATGAGTATCTTTTGTTAATTTTTAATTAAAATGTAACAGAAGTGCTGCGTTTTATTTCATTATTTATACAAACAACATTATTAACAAAGTACATACATATATTAATGCGAAAAAATATTAAAAAATTTTTTGTTGAACAGTGTTTTGTTCTCCAAGTTCGAATCGTAAACTTTGGGAAGTTCTGTGGATCACTTTATAATCGCTGAGTTTAGGCAACCAACATTGCATGTCACCAATATTAATCATTCGTTTACAATGAACAATGACAAACTGTTACATCTATGTAAGTTCAAGGTAATACGACGCTGATTGGATAAAATCTCACGGGAAAAATCATAAAGAACACTGAAAATGATTTAAAAACATTTATCTACACGTTTACTGGCTCCATTGAAATACCTGATCTACTGCACAACTGTAATACCCGACTTGCTGCAGTGCATGTACATGTAGTCAATTGTCACAATAGTTTATGCGCAAAAAGAATTTGAAAACGTAGCGAACTCAATTCTTTTTTTTTTTATTGTTATTAATTTCTACTATTGTTAAGAGGGCTCTATAGCAAATAGGCAACCACCTATACATTTTTATTGATGCCGCTTGTCGAAAACCAGCAAATTACAAATTGCTTTACAACAAAAAGTTATGAGTTTCAAACTAATTCCATTTTATAGAAAATCAGTGTTAGAATGGAGGAAAGTCTGTTATTTGTGCATTAATTCACTTTTAGACAAACTGTGTAATAAAATCTGTAAAAATGTATTGCTGGTTGCCTATTTGCTATAGAGCCCTCTTAAAAATTGATCATGGGCACCATACAAGAGTTTTGATGCTCTACCCCCTAATTTTTTTTAATGCTTGATATGAAACTATACAGAGTGTCCCATGGGGACTTGCGTCGATCGATATCTAGGAAAGTACTGCTCCGAAAAATTTGAAAAGTTGGCAACACGACAATGTCCCATAGGTTTGTTCCTGGGGCAGTCTCAAACTGTCTCGTCTTTTGCTTCAACGCACATTGTACTTCCATCTTCCATACACCAAATATAGAAACAATCTACATAATTTCTAGTTTGATTTTAAACATTTTTGTTCATGACAATGTGCGAGTTTAAAAAGCAAAGTCCAAAAGCATCGTCCGAGACTAACTTTTCCGAACTTGACCATCTGCCATATAGTCCAGATTAGGCTCCGTTCGACTTCTTTTTATTCAAAAATTTGAAGGAGCACATCAGGGAATTTCTTTCGCAAGTGATAACCAATTGGAAGAGCTTACTAATGCCTATTTATAGGACCAACTGAAATGATTTTTTTTTATGGAATAAAGTCGTTGCAGGGCAGGTGGCACAACATTGAAACCGACGATCATTAAAGCATTGCAGATATACAAATATTTTATTGTACGCAGGAGCACAAATGGCTCCATCTGTCGTGCTCACTCCCAACTGTGCCATTCAAATGGCTACAGTAGGAAGCGACCTGCTATATTGCAGGTACTTTGGTGCACGACTGCCACCCACACAGGGCAAAGACAATGTTTTAATTGTCAGTGTTGCGAGAAACAACTACTCGGTTGTCTCACCTATGACAACACTGATGAAGACTAATAAGTCTGTGCCTGGTGGGTTAAACTGACGAACGATCCTAGCTGTTGCGAGTATAATTCAATGCCGGTAGGGGCATATAGCCCTCGGAGTAGTTGTTTCTCGCAACACTGACAATTAAAACAAATATTTTAGTGTCCACTATATTTGTATATTTGTATACACCAACCGTACAACAAAACAGTGTACATAAATTCTGGTTTGAATTTATATGCAGGGTGTTTGAAAAAAATTGTACCTAATATTTCAAAGCTTGAGAGAAGGGCCTAACTTTCCAGTTCTTTCTTGAAGACTCATTTTCGTGTCAATCAATCAAGGGAATTTAAAATTTTGGTATAGCTGAATCAGGAATAAAAATTTTTAAAACGTAACATGACCGCTTTTCAAATATAAAAATGGTGGGGGGGGGAATGGACGAGGGTTATTATTAGTGGATGTGAAATTGGTAGGAGGAAGGTTTAATGACGAAAATCCACAATGTTTCTTGAATCTCGGGAAGTGGACTTTTCTGCCAGGGATCGCGATGCGCGAACGGCAATAATCACTAATGTGGACATAAATAGTCAAATATTTTATTAATAATTTGTATTTTACATATTAAAATTATATATGAACAATGTAGCATGTAACATAAATAATTAACCTACTAATAGCTATTAAAAAAAATAATTTAGGTAAAGATTTAACCCAACCTCGGTTGGAGTGGGGGGGGCTAAAATTTTTTTACAAACATTTCAGTACTGGTTTATTTATACTGCGGTTATTTATTATTTGTCCTATTTATTTAATGGTACGACCGTCCTTGCGTTACTTTGAAGGAATATTGTAATTTGAATGTGTAACTTATAAAAAAAAAACGTTAAAACGAAGAAATCATGCTCGAAATAAAGTCGTCCAAAATCAGGTTAATAAAAAGAGATATCCTCAATATATAACTACAAACATAATATATCCACTCAACAGAAGATTCCTTCAAAACACATTTAACTAACGTATTTCTCATCCACTTGAATACAATTTAAAAATATACACCATATTAACGTTTACCGTTATTGAAATTCAAACTTCTTAGTGGGGTCTTGAACGTCGAAGCAGCCTGCTGCTGAAGCTGATATGCCAGAGGATGGATTTTAAAACCAAATAACCTGAAAACGAGGCACTTCCATGTTTACGGAATAGTAACTAGATTCTCAAATAAAATAAGCTGTTGAGTGAATAAAATAATTTTTTTTCATATATATCAGGTTTATCAGAATCGGCCAACTAATTTTGGATATAAAAAAAGGTTCGTTTATTAATATTAACACCATATCTTGAAAACGAAGCTTTAAAACTTACAAGTTCATACGAATTTCAAACTTTTTATTTTTGCAAGGTCTACTGGATATTAAATCTTCCCGAATAAAACTTGAGACACCCTGTATATGGAGCACAAATTACAGGAAATATGTACTGACATAATTATAAGTTTGTGCAAAGTTTCATCTCAACATCTTAAAGAACAAACTCCATTGTCTTTTTAAGATAAAAGTTATTCATATACCGAGTACAAAAAGTTGAATTTTTAGTAAGTTTGCTTCTGCAAATAGCTGGCTTAGATTTTCCATTGACGTTAATAATTTCACTTTTTAGATGTCATATTATTTCACGTCCTGGAAAACTTCACGGATTTAACTACTTCACGTCAACTTCTACTTCACGTGTTATTTTACCATGGCTGACTAGAGCACACTTGAAAAAAATCGAGCTTCCGATGCATATGCGGGTATCAAATAACACGACATCCAAAAACTGACTTGGAACACAAAGTATCCAAGAAATTTTATGAGCAAAGCTCAGTTTTAAATTTGTGTGTACCCACCTAGGAACGAATTGATTTGTTGGACGTTTGGGCCTATACTCAGGATGCACCATGAACAACATGTGAGGAAAACCGGTGCCAAAATAGGCGCCATCTGTGTGGTGATGTCTAGAAGACTTTGGTGTGTACACGTCCATACATTTGGGGCAATATGACTTCACCATTGCTTCACCAGGTACGTCGGATAAACCTGCGCAAATGATTTGTACTATGTAGCCGTAGAACAAAGTATGGAGACTCTAGCAGCTTATCGTGTCATCAAATTTATTTTCTTACATCTCACGACATAAAATTTCATCTACATGAATTTTCAAATAAAGAGTTATAAACCTCTCCAATAAAAATATTAAAGATTATATATTAATTTTGATAAAATCTTCCAAAATTATATTTATATTTCCTTGAAATTTTAACATTTTAATTAACGTTAATACTTGCAACTGTATGTTATATTTGTATATGTGTATGAATTACATTTAACCTCAATCCGGACATGTAAATTTATTTTATCACTCGCCATCGTTCAGCATTATGCTCTAGCGATTACAAAGTAAATAAGTAATAAGTAAATAATCGTATGTAAAACTTATTGTTCCAGTACAAAACATTGTGTACATTGTAATCGTGTAAAGTGCAGATATGATTCAATCATTAAACATATTAAAATTAACATATAATAGAATGATTTATCAATATTTTGTAGCTACTATGACAGTTTTAGAAAATGTTTTTATGATTTTGTAGATACCCGAGAAGTTAACTGTATTACAATTATAAATGAACGTGATTTATTCCTCTGATAGTTAAGCAGAAGTAATTTCACTTACCTAAAGGCAGCATTGGCTGAGATTCACAGTAAACCCTAGGACAAAAACCGAAATCACCTGATTGATACTTCTCTATCATTTGAGCAATTCCACGATTCGTTAAAATATACCTAGCATGAATTAACCCATATAGCATTTCGGCAGCTTGTTCAATTAAATCCGACTGATTCGGATTGTCATCTAATTCATCGTCTAAAAACAATAATTAATTAAGAATAATGTAATATGGTACATTTATAGAAATATGCTAAAATCTGTAGCCTTTGAATTAAGAAAAATAAGAGGTGTGGACATTACGGAAAACTGGTAACTTATTTACATTATGCGAAAACTGTTGAACTAACCTGGTTCTAAGTCTAATATCATATCCAACGCTTGTCTATAGTGTGGTACTTGTTCGTTTAAACCCGTCAAATTAAATTTGTCTTGTATATAATCCTCATCAACCTAAAAAATTGATATTGTATGAAGTTTTGAGTTCATGATATTTGTATATTTACCTCGCAGAAGAATTCATTTCCCCTTAGTCCACAGAACCATGAAATCCACGATACCTCCTCAGAGCTGCTCATTTTTCTACAAATTAATTTATTTATCAGTAAAACAAGAAATTTGCCAGAAAAAATGGGTGTACAACCCTATGTTTAGATTAGGTTTTTTGACATTTGCACAAGGCTAATGTCAATTTTATAAGGTTTTTACGAAATCTGGTATTTTCGATTTAACTTAAACATACGTACATTATTTTAGAAGTCATGTAAGCGCAAAAATTTAATTATTTTACCTTTTTGTACCTTGATTAGCCACGCTTACGCTACTTCATCTACGCGAAAAGGAAATCGACTCTGCGGTCATCTGACGATTCAAAACTGAACTAAATCAGAGAGGGAAATTTAAAACACCACTTAACAATAGAGATTGTTTACTTTAATTTTAAGTTGATTGATTGATGCGTCCAGTCAAATATAAATGAAAAATTTCGATGATTGTCATTAGTAAATTTGTCCTAGTCGTTTCGAAAGCTCGAACAGTCTTAAAATAGCAAGTGTACCTACCGCGATGTATATATAGTATTTAGTAGTGAACTGTAGCAAGTTATAATGGGAATCACGATGTTTATCTCTTGAAAGATGAATAAAAATTAGCTGCAGAATTATTGTAAATCTAATTAGTGTATTTTACAAATCATCAGGTACGTATTAAGTATATTTATTAATGTGTGAGAAACATGTTACATGCTAATAATTAATGTTCCAAATTATGATTTCGATTTAGGTATGTAGGTAAAAGTTCTTCATACGTTGAAAGAAATTAATTTCTTATGCTTGTGTCAATTGTCATTGTGTTTGATGTTAGATTATCAGTATTTCTGAAAGGGGAGAAAGACGCCAGACAGTCTGAAGGAAATGCAGACGCCATAATAATGTCTGGGATAGCAAGTTTTTATTTTATAATTTATACCTACAAAGAGCAATGAACGTATCATTTTCTAGACATTTAAAATTTTTATAAATACTTATTTCATGCGTTTATGATTATGTTGATACAGGGCTTTAAATTTCAAATAAAGAAATAGGCAGGTGTAGGTATCCTTAAAAATAATATGCAGATACGTAATTCTATAACAATTTTTTTTTACTAAACAACGACATCCACATAAAATAAAAGATTTTTATTTTTAGTGGTTTAGTCACTTATATGTTTATATACTACCATTTATGTACTTAATCTAATACTATTGCAATAAAAATAATACTATAATGAATTTATTATAAATACTTTCGACTATCTGATATAAATATTCCAGGCCTGGTAAAAAAGTTTTTAGTTATTTTTAAGCCTCGAACGCAGAATAGATTTAAATGATTGCTCTAATTAATAGTTTAAAAATATGTGGTAACCATTATTTTTAGATTTTATTTTTACAAACGCAAAATGCTTTTGTATACTTTCGTATACATAACGAAAATATGGTTGAACAGAGTACCATGGTAGTTAAATAGATAAAGTTCACACCTGTGTTTCTTTTTAAGACCGATAAGAGACTAAATACTGCCAGCTTCATAAAGAATTCAAGGTTCCCAAGACAACGATTTCTTTTTGTGGTCCGCTCAGTGTATTTTCTTTACAATTATTGTGTTTTGAAAAAAAATATTTGTGGAATTAATAATTTTAATTTGGAAACTTGAATGACACTGTCCTATAGCTACGTTCATATTTTAATAATTTTGACTTTATGAATGAGCTTGGCTAATGGCTATTGGCATGGGCGCATTCGCCATTTTTTTAAATTATTGATTTGTAATTTAAAATCATAACTTGATGTTTGTGTGCTGTTTTTTTTACCAATCCGGTACATCGAAAATTTAACAAGTAGGATATAAAATCAGAGTTTCCAGTGATTTATTAAATGTGGCGATTGTGAATGTAATTTAATCGAAAGCTGTCAATTTTTTCTTCGCAAAACAGACAGATAATCTTACCAAAACTTATTTATTGGTCGATTTCCCACGGGGTAGTTCTCTGGTATCCAAGAACATCGTTTAACTTAACCAACCAAAAACGTGACCATAATTATCGTGCAGACTACATTATGCTTCACCTTAAAACAAATGTTGTCTTGCTTCACCATAGATTAAAACGATATCCATCAGCTCCTGGTTGCTATATACGTAAGCCAATTTTTGACACTTGGAAAACTAATGTAAACACTATCGCAAAACATTAAAATCGGATTTCAGCATTCGGAATCGCCAGAGGCCACGTGGAGAGATAGCGTATTGCGTACAGAGCATAACGTAAATGACGCTAGAGACTACACTATCCCAGCGATGTAATGGTTGTAAATACTACAATTTTTTTTCTCGGAAACTACATATAAGGATTTTACAAACATTTTTTTTACGGTATTGACTCCATCTTTCATGACGCATCTATTCCCAATTTTTTTTTGGATTAGTTGTGTATCAATCTGTGTACGAGGCATATCCACAAAGTTAAGAGTACTGAGACTCTGACACGCTGTGATTTTTGTTTTGACAAACTTGGCAACACTACATTCGAGGCCAAGATGTTGGGAGCAAACGCACGTTTATTTGTCTCAGTCAATTGAGAACTCTTGTTGTAGTGGCGTGTTGAAATCAGTGCCGCTATTCCGAATCTCGCCAACTGCAAGGGAAAAGGCGCTATTTTGGATTTTTAACGAAAATAAAATCATTGTGGATATGCCTTATCATAGATCATAAAAAAATAATTCGACCCTATGAGTATACTTTTAGCAGAATTAGATAATTTTGTTAAAAATAAATAAAAATATGTTATTTGATCACTCGGTACGTACAAGGCTTTTAATATGAAACAATTAATAAATAAATATTTCGATTAAACTTCTCTTATGTAGGTACTATACTGAAATTTTTATCTTAATGCAAACAAATACTGTATTTGAAGTTAGCCCAATTTCTCAAAAATGCGTTTCCTGACATTTCCAACATTCGATCAAAACATGCTGGATAGACTTAGTCGTCCAATTTTGGTCTCGGGAATATCCGCTTCTTCCTCGTTTTTTTGTGAACGCCCCGTGTGTGATCAATTAAAGCTACAAAATTTTTACAACACGTCAGTATTTTATTTTTAATATATTAAGGGATATGTAAGATTAAAAGAAAAAGTTTCTTATACATTTGAAGCAAATAAAAATTGTACTTCACTCTAACTCACATCCGTTCTTTGTACCAATGGATAGGTACATACTTGACTTATTTGTTAACGTATATGTATTTGTAACAAGTTTATTATTCACTTCGACACCTCTCTGTTTCTGTCTTGCCAATTGATCCATTAGATATACACGTTTCGATGTTTTGATAATACTCGAAAGCGAGGTTAATGCCTTACGATCACGCAGGTGACGTTAGGTGTGACTAATCAAATTAATAATTTCGGTAAAAACCGCAAAATTTAACGTTTGTACGTATATACATGATACATGCAGTTTTGACCTCTCAGGTTTAGGCACAGATTACCTATCTGTGGTTTTAGGTACATGTAGACGAATAAGCGGAAATTGTGGTGTCGGTAGACTTCCACGGAATTTCCAGCGACGATATCACGTTGCAACGGAGTTGAGTATTGTGTGAATTTCGAACATCGAGGTCCTAAACCTAAATTGTCATTCGATGTTTTTAGGAGAAAGTCAAAATAATGCTACTTTTTATACAAGGTGATTCGCTTTTTAAGATTAGTACTTTAATCATCGATAGATCTCGTCAAAATGATGTTATTTTGAAGTATACACTTTTTCTTCCAAATACTTCCTTTCAGAGATATGAGATCTTGAAAAAAAATATATTTTTTTGGTTTTTATTTATTTTTTCTTAAACTATGAAAGCCATTTGCCATGAGCATTAATTCAATTTTGTGAAATTGGGCATTCCCCACACAGAATTAAAAAGATTGGCATCATATTTACTGTTATTAAGTTGTCTTAGATATTTTATAACTACTCAATATCGATATATTTCCTCTGTTGGTCTTAGCTGTGATAAAACATATTTTAAATTTTTATAACTGATAGGTAATATATCCACTTATCAATGATTCTTTTGAAAGGTTTTTTTTCTACGTTCTTACGCAATATTTCAAGCGAGCAAATTATTAGAAATTTTAATTTCTCATAAAATCTTAAGTGATAACGATAACAAATCCGTTTAGCTACATTTGAGCTGTTTTAAAAAATGTGAAATAAATTAACTACATATAACCACAGACAAAATAGCTTGGCGGGAAGCTATATTGTCTGTGATATAACTATACGCGTATTACTAAAAAACTGGTCGACTTATCTAATTCCATTTGTGTGAATAACATGAATTTATTTGCTTATAATTTGACAGGAAAAGGTTTAACAAACAAAAGCTATAAAATTGCAAGTGATCTCACACATACACCCTAGCTGTGTGCATACAATTACTTGTAGTTAATTCAAACAATTTGAAATATGCAAGTAAAAGAGACGTCTGTTGCAAAACATTCCTATAAAAAAATTCACGGTATTGAATTATGGAATGACAGATAAAATTTTGGTTAAAAAAATTTGCTGTGGCAAATCTTCAAATATTCAAAAATTTTGTTAGTGCGCATTAAAAATTTTTATATGGGAATGATTTAATTAGTTTACGTGCTTGCTGTAACGTCCAAAATCAGTTGCTTGTAAAATAAAAGTTAGAAAGGCAGGAATTATTTGCTAAAACATTAAGTCAGCAAAGACAAGAATGAAAAAATCTAGTACAAATTTATAGGAAAAATTTGACGAGGTGCTTCTCAGAAGATAGAAAATGCCATTTTAATCAGAAACACGCTGTAAACAATTAAGAAACTTTCAATGACTATATGTAGATATTTAGAAGATTATTCGTTTAGAATTAATGTTTGATTTAATTTCTGCGGCCTTTTTTCTGTTATTGTAATTAAAATTTACAGCCACAATTTCGCCTTGAATATCTATATTAATTACAAAAATTGGGACAAATACGTTAGGGGACAAAAGTTTGGTCAGTTTGAGGTCGAGGTATGTAGTATATGTTTGTCATAAGGTTTTCCCACCCATTTAATAATTATTATTCTACCATTATTTTAGTTTGTGATGATTTGAATTGAAATTAAATACATACTGGGTGTTTGTTGGCACTTTGTAAACACTTGTTTCATAACCGTTATTATTCCTTATTTTTTTTCAATTTCTAAAGTGAATTTAATCGTCCTTTGTCGCTAATATAGCCAAAAAAGTTATTTAAATCATTAAATAATGCCAAATTGCGAAAACATCATCTTCAGCAAATAAAAGTATAGTAAAAAGTTTATACTGAGTGTCTCAAAAAAGTCTCGGACCGCCAGATAACCTTGCAGGATTGAGCCTATCAAAAGAAGTTTCAGATGAAGTTGTAAGATATCAAGAAACCAATACTTTGGGTTTGATCTTGACCTAGGTCAATTTGGAAAAATTGAAGGGAACGCCCTATTTTTTATGCCACAATCAATAGAATGCCAGGTTTAAGTCAGATATTATTTCCGGTATGTGCATAGTCTTTCGGAAGTCAGTTGAACATATATAAAAACGCCCAGCAATAAAATTTAATGAGTTTTATAGGCGTTCCTAAAAAAGATTTCTGCTAAAGGTAGAAAAATACCTCTAATTTGTAGAAAATATCTATTATATGTTCATTTGACCAATAACATATTTTAATTATTTATGACCTCAAACAATTTTATTATATTGATGGTAAATTTCGTTTTGTTCCGTTTCAAAAGGTGTCCAAAATACAATGTTGTAATAATATTAGTAAACAAAATATTCCTCTTATTTCTCCTTTTCGCAATTAATTGTAAAATGAATGATTAATAGAATAATAAATTAAAATTACCTGAATCACACCAAATTCTGCATTGCTGCACTGCATTGCTAGTCAATTTGTCAATAATAAAAATTTACGGCTTCAATTAAGATCGGACTGCAGGTCATTTGGAGAGTAAACTAATTTTTCTCTGAACAACTCGACAAGATCTAATTTCAAGCAATGAAAGCTTAAATAATAGTGTATTCTATTTGACCTTGCAACTTGTGGTGAAGTTCAAATCGAATTTGTCATTCAAAGTCCTACAATTTTGCTTGAAACAGTATTCCTCCATTATTGAATCTTCTCGAGAGAAAAATGAGTGACCTCTAAATGACCCCCAAGGAAAAATTTTCCGACACCATTCGAATGTTAAATTTGGCGCTCTGTCTTTTGCTGGCATGAAAATAGAGTTTTCCTTTTAATATTGCCAAGTTGATCTTTGTTTGACCTTGAATCTTAAGTCAAGGTGAAACTTACCAGCATACTGGTTTTTATACAATTTGAAAGGAAGATTTTATTCATAGAAAATTCAATGTTAGTCGTTACTTTTCATAATATGGTGGGTAAAAGTTGCATTTACTGAATAGTTCGCTATAAAACTGTTTGATAACCTTTGATTACTAGAAACGATCTACAAATTGGAAATTTCTCGCTTTACATAGAAATCGTCCTACTTCGAGGAAACCCAGTCATCAGCGGAGCGTGTACCAACAACTGTTATAAACATCGACTGCAGTGTCTCGCTATCGTTCTCGTTTCTGGTGTCGTTTACCAATGCAGCAACAGTTTCACACACATACACTACTTGCTGCATTTATTAAAAGCTATTCTCATGAAACTAAACAATTCAAGGTTGAGCAGTGGACAATTTAAAACGAGTTTTATGATCTCTTATTTACTGCCGTCAATTCACTGCGGTCAGTTGTGACGCACCGGCGGTCCTGTCCTAAAAAAATCAACAGCTTTATTGTGAATTAGTGGTATCTTTGTTGTGCTATTAAAATCGTTTACTACTTGCCGAGTGGGTAACGGTACTGACTTACCTACAGTTTGGGACAAGCAGGGCAAGGACGTCATTGTCCAGTTTCTTTGCTTTATTGTGACTGTGCGGGAAATTCTGGCTATTAATGATAAGTGATAAAGTTCAGCGGACTGCCTCGTGGAATAGGAAGGCTGGTGGTTAAAATGTTATGCTTTGGTAAGTCGCGTTTTAAGTTTATGTAATAAATATCCATCAATAAGGTCGTGCCTAAGTCGTCATACTGAGTGTTCTCTTTGTTCCGGACTTTAGTGTGAAAGAAAAACAGAGAATTGTCATACGATGGTGAAAAACATTAAATTTCAGAATACTGATTCTAATTATCTGACTGTAGGCAGCAGAAATATTTCGCTGTAAATAGAAAGTGCAGCCTGGTGCGTCAAATTCTAATGGGATGGATATTTAGAACGAACGAGTATTTCGTGTAAGCGCCTGGAAAAATATTCCCATGAAATTAATTCATGGAAATTTAGTGATGATAAAATTTTTAATATTTATTTGATTAATTTCCTTGAATAAAATAAAACCCTAAATAAAACTGCTATATTTTTCCCAGTTCAACTGTGCTGAATTCACAACAATCTCGGTTTTATTATGCAATTAACTGAATAGCCGAAATGATTTAAATTATCATGGATTTTTGAACTCAACGATGTAAGAAGCTCAAACCACATCTTTCACAGGAAACGTTAAAGATAAATGTAAAAAAAATAAGTAACTGATATCATATGTCTCAATATTTCTTAGAAAAAAAGACGGGTAAACACAGAATAAGATAAAACATTATAAACATGTTAATTGGGGAACCTATTATTGATAATTACATAATTTTAAAAGGATCATTTATGAAATAAATTCTTATATCTGAAATCTTTTCAAGTATAAAGTTATCACCTTTTGTCAATATAAATACTTGGAATTCTTAGAGCGTATTTTAGTTTCCAAAATATGTCGTTATCTATTATTTATAATAATATAATATAATTTTAGTTTAGTTATAACTAATACTGCATAATATTTTTCCCAAAAAACTTTACGTTTACTTAATACTAATGAATTAGTAAATGTTATAAGGACCTCTGTGGAAATAATATCCAGGCATATTTTAAAAACTATTTTATTTTATTTTTTCATAGATAAAAAGAGATATGACTCACACGATCCTAATAACTGCTTATTATTTCATTAGCACAATTATTTAATTATGCTATTGGAATCTCTATACATCTACAGTATGTTCGCGACTAGGGTGAATAAGAGGAAAAACTTTTTTATTTTAGATTTTATGGAAAAAATGTAAACGCAAAATACACGAAATGAAATATTTGTCGTCTTCGTAGCGTCTTTAAAATATTTGGAAAAGGCGGATGTCGATAAGGGCGAAATTCCTGAAATTCTCGTAACGATTAGATAAAATTTTATTTAATTAAAGACCGATCGCTTTCCTCAAAAATATCGATATCGGACGTACATATGTCGTATGTATATTATTCAAGCTTATCAGCGATACTATAGTAAAATTATTCATTTCTTCGAACGGGTTCCCATTACTGTGTCAGGTGTATTTATTGTGCGTGTGTTACCGTTTTATTGTTTTTTTGTTAATTCCACCGAACAGTAAATAATTTATCTTGTTTTCCTGATCGAATACCGATACCGCAAGTATGAATATTCCATTCATCGATGGTAGTTGATTGAATTTAAAAATATTACCTATGTCACGCTGATTGGTATCTGTACAGAATATAGATGCTTAAGTACCACCTTTTATTTTGCCGAAACTATAGTACCTATTTTTTTTAACATTGTAGGTACTTATGAAATAGATACTGAAAACTGCAAAACTGTATCTGTCAATTTTAATCAATTTCGTTAAATATATTCAAAAGAGAACTCTTTCTTACTTTTACAAAAACTACAGGGTGTAAGAAGTTTGACTGTCATTACTTCAGCATGAAATAGAGTAATCATAAATGAACAAAGAAAGTTGCATATTACAGAGGCGTAAGATTAACAATTTTCAAAATACAGCGAGTATTAATATTGAGGAAGAAACACTCAGACACGGTCCAATTCCAGATACCAACTGAATTGCGTATTGCTACACAGCTTAGTAGCTCGTATTATCCGTCGCGCCATTGTCACATTGCTGTATATCAGCTGTGGATTACACTCAAAACATGTCGGTAGATAAACATCTAAACGTCGAAACCGGTCTGTGTTTGGTGGTTCTACTGACGAATGATCTTAGACGTTTATTAGACATTGCGAGTGTACTTCAATGCGGGATTAGGTGCTAGTCCGTTGAGTAGTCGTCTTGCGAAATATTCTTATTTAAATGCTAAATAAAATATTACTGTAATACTTTGTACTGTGCTTTGTTTTGTTCTTTTGCCATTTTAAGATTCATATGACCAATAACCAGTCAGTGTTTGTAACCTTAATAGTCGAAATTTGTTAAGTAAAACTTATTTATCGAAAAATAAACAATTTTTACATAGGAACTACTTCAGAACTAGCAAACAGTTGAAACCATCCGTCAGTAGAACTACCAGACATATACCGGTTGACTATAGTCTTTATCTTTTATGCGGTAAAATATTTTGATTCTAACTTAAACTATTTGAAAATTAGTTAATGTTTTTCGCGAAATTTAAGAATTTTCTAAACAATTTGGCAACACTGTAACCATATGCTAAACTATTTACACATAATTTTAGGGAAATTGAAAATATACAGCGTTGCATAAAAAATATTTTATCTTCAATAATAATAGAACTGTTACATTTTGTAACAACACTGATGGACACTATGTATACATCATCATGAAATCTACTGTAATACTACTAATTTGTATTTTAATTATAAAATAGAATATAATAAATTCACTTTGTTCAAGTACGTATATCTGTTATGAGCGGTAATAAGGAAAACAAGTCATAAATCTTCCAGACGAAATTTTTAATCCTTTATAGAAATTCTCGTAATTCCACAGTTATCTGAAAAATCTGAGATAATAAAACCCTGTATGAATGCTTACATATACATAAATAAGACAAGAATTTGAAATCGGATACACTCACGACAAAGAACATCCTCAATTTTGTGGTTATAGTAAGTCCGATCAGTAAACGGAGCACAATTATTTTATACGATCCCTTGTAACCATGCTTACAGATATACAGTGTAGGAAAGTACCGATGGTCTATCAGAAGTTACGTGAGAGCGATAAAGTAAGCCATAGAAATCCATGTGATAGACAAGGATGGCTATACTGAAGGCATCTAATAGTCAACGCCCATTTCGCCCTTCCACAAATAAGAAGTGGATCTTATTTGTGGAAGGGCGAAACGGGCGGTGATTATGAGATGCCTTCATTATAGCCATCCTTCTCTATCGCATGGATTTCTATGGCTTACTTTATCGCTCTCACGTAACTTCAGATAGACCATCGGTACTTTCCTGCCCTGTATGTAGATGTTTTGAAGTTGAAGCGACATGGTGACTCAAAGTCATCCGCGGTGAATTATCTTTTTCGAATTACAAGATCTTACATCTACTGCCGATGATTACTAGCACAGGAATGTGGAATGTTTTATATGAGGATTTGATTTATCTGTAAAATTCAATCCTCCAAACATTTGAAATATTTTGATCGTCCAATTAAAGTACGTTGGAAGTAAACAAAAAAAATCGTGTATCCCGTAATGCCACTAATTCAACAATATGTGACGTTCAATTCGCTTGCTGTTTATCTCTACATATTAGCAGAGTTTTATCTTGACACCGTTCGTTATTATCTGCTAATAGTAGTTTATTGTTTCAGTTTGCAGATAACCTTCCAAAAACATGAGGTCTACGTCCAACGAAGATCTCGGTGAGTTCCCAACAATATGTGCTTTTGCTTCGTCCTATTATTACTTTACGTTTTATATTATACAGAGTGTTCTTGAAATACTTTTCTAAACTTTAATGGCCCATTTTGCGTTAATAAAAAAGTGTTCCCGGAAACCAAAAACGATATTTTGGATTTGAAATACCTTAGAATAAAGACTGTGAGTGAGAATTAGTGTGAAACTACGCCAATGCACGTAAAATAAATGGTTGCATGCATACGTCTGTGGACAATTAAAAATTCAATATCTGCATATCAAATATGAATTAAATCATTTCTACCTCTTTGATGTAAGTCATTTGACTACGTTTTTTTGACTTTAACACCCTATATTTCGAAAACGAATCGTTTCTGAATAAATGAATCTGCTGTAAAAGTTTGGCCAAGCATTTTAGTTACATCCTGTATAGTTTCAGTAATGTAATGTACAGATAAAATCAACATACCTACTCAGTTTTACAGTAAATCTTAAAACTTTGTCACAGGGACTAATTACTGAGATATCTTATCATATACTTTAATTCATTTGTTATCTCATAAAATCGCTCGTATTTCATGAGATAGCTTATGAATCATGATCATGTAGGTGGTATTTTTTTAAGTTTTACCATTACCTTATGCCCAATGAGATTTCTCCTTATTTTCAACACGCACGCATGTACTTCTCGTTCATAAAATTGATGAAGTTGAAAGACTTCGCCTTGGTAAAGTTTCACATACATTTTATATAATTACCACAGACATAATAACTTAAAAAAAATCAGGGTATGCATCTGTTTTTACTAGGACATATTTTTTCCTTCAAACAACATAAAAAAACCTAGAATTTTATTCGTCAAATTCTATTTATTTATTATAATTAGTTTTATGTTTAAATTAGCATAATTTATATATTTACTTCCAACAGTAAAACTTTATTGTTTTGTAAATATGGCAAAATATAACTTTCAAGGTTGTGGTTTAACTGAATCACTTTCATCGGACAAAATTTTGTTAAATAATTGTATTAAATTATTTACATTATAATGATAGTTTCTTATCTGAAGACTATATTGGTAACTGATATTATTTATCAATAATTTGTTAAATATTGATACATAATAATTGCATAACTAGTTTATTAAAAGTTGCAGATATTGATATTGACTTTTTCTTATTGTTATTTTAGTTCTTACATGAAATATCATAGTTATTTATACTTAAATAGTTGTGTTTATGCGCGGAAACTAAGTATATGACAACATCTGAAAGTATTGTAATGCTTTTGATGAAAGCTATTGCAAACCTTGTTTTCATTTCATACAGCCATCAGAAATCGGGTTGACTAATATCTGATGATCCACAGATAAGGTAATCTTAAATCCCCTGTTCGATAAATGCCGTTGTTTGATTAGGCAGCGTTATTTTACTTTCTTAGAATACAGGGTTTGAGAGAAAGCCAACTCTGTTCTATATCTGACATATTTTTTTTTATAAGTTAATACCACATGAGTTTCAATGACAGCATAACATAATCATCTACACAATTATCTATTTAACAACCAGATTGTACAAAAATGTGACAAACTGAAAGATCTCAGTGTCATTTTAAATTCTAAATTCTACTTTTTCAATCTTTCTTTTTACTCATTATTAAATTATTATAAATTTAATTCCGTACATCCCTCGTATCTATCCTACGTTGCACTTTTTGCGTAATAGCCTAAATACATATTGTTTTATTTTGGTACAACTATTAGCGTTGATGAGTTTAACGCGACACTCCTTTTATTATCCTCAAATAGTGTAAATGATGACGTCAACTCTCCAAATATAAAAAACCCAATTAGAATAAATAAATATTTACATTTTTTAACTTTTACGTGTACATATGTATTTGTATTAAAACAATGGGCAATTATTTCAGCAACTGGACTTGTATATATGGATTATTTGAATATTTTTTAATGCGTTCATTCAAATAATCATATATTAAAACTACCACGGAGAAACTTTCTCTTCTAATCAAACTCTCCTGCAAATGAACATACGGCAGATATGTTGTTGTATGTTTGTATAAATACAATAACTGTGATGCCGATATACGTGTCTTCAACAATTTACGAGGAAAATGCATGTTAAATATAACTATTTAGTCTAATTGTGTATGTATTTTGAAGACGACAACCTTGCTACACCGCGTACCGATAAGGAAGATTATAATACACAGTGCAGTTAAAAAATGTAAAACAACTCGGAAAAAAATGAAAAAGTTTGGTATAGTTTACGTTGATTTATGTCAATGTTTTTAATAACTTCAGTTCATTATGAGCTGCTCTGAACTATTTTTGAACGTCTCAGGTGTAGATTTTTTGACGTCTCAAAAAGCACATCGCTTTCTTCTTCAGAAGGAATTCTGAAAGTAGATATTAACTTCCCTGGTCTATATTTATATTTGCTGTATGAAATAGTCTGTGGTGTTCCTGGGCATGGTTTGAGGTCACTGGTTTCAAACGTTCTCGTCCTCGATTTTTTTCGGATAAGTCGTTTCCAAAGCCTTTGTCTAGGTTGATATATCTAGATTCTTCCGTGCTTTCCTACTGCTTCTCTGTAGGTAAAGTCTTCATCAAAACTTACCTGAGTTCTCTTAATTTATTGCTAATGTGTCTCCCTATTTGTCCAATACCTGGAACACGTCTCTCTTATTCTCCTATCTCCCTTGATGTGTCTGTAGATAGTATTAATAATAACGTGTTGAGTTTCTTCTAGATGTGGGTGCTTTGTGGGTCAAAAAGTTCTTGTTATACCCATGAGGCCAGATGATACTGAATCTTCTTCCTCTCTCTAAGCATTCTTATACATAGTCACAGGACAGAAGGTGTAGATAAACTTAGACTCGGTCAGTGTGTCATTTAAGACAATGTACCTATATTAGAGTCGTAGTTGAGTAGTTCATTTGACCTTTTTGTGTTAATTTTGTGTAAAAAAGCCTTTGCTTAGCAAGTGAATCCTTTCCTCTTTAATTTATATTACGCTATATCAGTGTGTTTATTTATATCAGTCTATTTTCGGTTATCAAATAATTTATCTCATGAATTCTGAGATTTTGCTTTGCACAAGACCCACTCTAGGCTCAATTACGCGATTCTATCAAATCAGCACTTGCTTTTTAAGAGTTGTGACATTAACAGTATGCGATTAATGTTGATAGTGGTAGCGTTGAAAAACTACTCTACTTTTACCCCATTTTATGTATAAGCTTTATCGTAACAAATATATTATTTTAATCATGAACTTAACAGGCGTCGTTTTCTCGATTATCCATATTTAAATCCGCTGATTCGCGATCTTGGTTGCGAAAATAACTGAGCTTATTCGCAAGTTTACACACTTAATCGCGTTAAAAAATCATATCTGCTTTTAATTGCTCTTCCTGTAAGTCTACGTAAATTAATGAGCTGTGGTGATAATGAAACTGGTAAATAACTGAGTGTGTGCTTTACTACACTCAATGTCAAACAATGCTGGCACCTGGTGGTTTGAGCTTGAGTGGTTAGTGTTGTAGTGAACATGAGCCCGATCTGCTGCGGCGGGACCGAACCTAAATATCGTAAGTTTTTCTTTGTGGCATCAACAGTTGATTGGAAAATTGCAATTTGGATTCAGATTTCTAGCGAGAATGTTACGATGTTTCCACCGTATGTAATAAATGCGCATTTTGAAAATTATCTAGAGCAACAAGTTTTCTTTTATTACTACAATCAGGTATCAATATTTAGATTGAGATTTCATTATCGATTATAGAAGTATATGACCGCTTTTGCCAAATTGAACTTATAAAATGAACTGAAAAATTTTTAAATAAAGTCAAACACTGTTCTTCGACACCGGGCGTCTAGGTAAGCAAAAGATATTCAAGCTCATAGACAACATTCTCAAATAATGTAATCATTCAGAGAAATATTCTATATTCTTGTTTTCATTCAAGTTTGATCACGTTAAAAACACTTCTAAAAATTGAATATACACTGTGTCCCAAAATGATGGAACAAAATTCATATATTTTTTTCAGCTTCTAAAGACGAATTCAACGATATAAGGTAATACCTACTTTTTTGTCATAGTCGTCAAAAATTGGAGGACACTACTTTTTATTTAACCATTAACAGTTGCATACAATGCCTAATTCGGTGTTCAAAGTTATTAATTATATTTTGAATAACATTTGGTGTTATGTTTCGAACCTTTTCTCTGATACGATATTTCAATCCTTCAATAGGGTCTGATCTATTCACATACATTTTGCTTTTTAGATAACCCCACAAAAAAATCTAGTGGGGTTAAGTCAGGGGAGCGTGGTGGCCATTCAACCGGCCCTCTTCTGCCTATCCATCGATTTGGGCAAACTTCATTAAGGTAATTTCTTACATCGAGGCGAAAATGTGGAGGGGCACCATCTTGTTGGAACCAGACATCACCAACAGGCATATCGGGTTCATTAGGGTTAGGAAAAATTAAATCCAGGGCTGGAATCAGCTGAAAACGTAAAAATCCAAATAAATGTCGCCTGTCAAATCGCCCTCATAGAAATAAGGTCCCAGTATGCGATTTCCTACTATTCCAGTACAAACATTCACTTTTTCCGGACGTTGCGTATATTTTTCTTGAATCCAATGCGGATTTTCTGAGCTCCAATACCTATACGTAAAATCCAGTATGCCTTGGAAATTTAGAAAAATCAGATTTTATTCACCAGTATTGCCATGAAAATTTATGAAGATACTTTCTCAGAATGTAAAACTGAGTGTCAACAGCTTAAGCCTACTTTGATTTCTTGCTTGATTTTACATTTTTCTCGCAGTAGACAGGACTAATTACAAGAAAATTTATTTAATTTAGGTAATCGTTAAAACGACATTAACGATGTTCATTACCATAATTCGTCTATAAATTGTAAACCCCATTTTCCTCCAAAATATAAAACATGATGCATATTTCAGGCCGGAAAACTATAAAGTTTCTTACACACCGAGTAAAAAATCTTACAGACGAACGACTCAGGATTAATTTTATCACTTTAGGTTTTTATTAGGTCCCAAGAATGTTTCTAGGCCACGTCCTGTTATATTTGGTTATAATTTAGATTACCTTTGCAGCAGATAAAATATTTTTGGTCTTTTATGGCACCTCTATTTATTCAGCTTCAAAGCGAAATTTTTGTGATTTTTTTTATGCATTTAGTTATATCCTATTAGCCGACGTTCAGTAAAATTTATTTACAGGTCTTTCATATAAAGTTTTTCGATGGAAAAGGTTTTTCGTTGCCGAAAGTAAAATGAGGTTCCGATTATTTTCTAAACAACCATTAAATATAAAAAAGATGGCACAGATATCATCATGATGATGAATAATTCATATAAGTTAGATTTTTATATACAGGGTGACCCATTAAGAATGGAAACACTCGCATACAAAAGTTGTTTATGGACCGATTTTAAAGATAGATCTCCAAAAGCTCTATCTTGATGCAAAATTTGAAGACGAAATTTTGATTTTCAAGGCCTACTACGATTTTTTTTTAAGTGAAAAATAGCAAAATTTTGTTAGCGATTTTTTTATAAAAAATTTGACTACACCACTAGATTTAGGAACCCCTCAAATGCATTTGTACCAATTTTTGCGAAAAAAAGTTTGCCCCTAAAAAAGTTATGACAATATCGGCATCACCAGTGTTTGCCGTTGTCGGTGAACCTATTCTTTTATAAAAACCGAATAGAACCCAAAGGGAAACAAAATTAAATAACAAACACTGGTTTAATAATTATTAATAAGAATCATAAAAACCAGTATACACAAAATAAACAACAATTACTCTAATATAAACAACAATTGATAAAAAAAAGTAATGATTAAAAAATTACATTTTTAAAAATGAAAAAGGAGTCTATCAAATTGATTTACACTAATCACGTCATTAAATTTAAATTTTAGTAGCTTCCACTAATCCTCCGTTTAATTCTATACATTTTTCATAACGTTTTTTTATATTTTTTACTACATTTCGTAATTGATGCGCGTTAATCTCCTCACACGCTTCCCTTATTCTAGTGCACAATACCTCCCGGTTATTTGGCCGTGTCTTATAAACTTTGGACTTAATAAAGCCCCACAGAAAAAAATCAAGTGGGGTAAGGTCCGGAGATCGGGGTGGCCAATGAATTAATGGACTGTTTCGACCTATCCAATGATTGGGGAAATTCTCGTTAAGCCACTCCCTGACTTGTCTCGCATTGTGTATTGGACATCCATCCAACTGAAAATGTAGATTTACTCTTTCTTGTAATGGAAGATTATCGACTGTATTAAAAAATTCGTTCTGAAGGAAATGTAGAAATTGTTCGCCATTCATATTCCCTTCAAAGAGGAACGGACCAATGACTCTCTCGTTAAGTATCCCACACCAAACGTTAACTTTCTGACTATATTGTCTTCGGCAATTAATTATCCACTCTGGATTTTCTGAAACCCAACACCGCGAGTTCTGTGATGATACAATTCCATTAGTCGTGAATGTGGCCTCATCGCTGAATAAGATATTTTTTAAAAGAAATCGGTAATTGAGATATTGTCCCTGTGCCCAGAGACAAAACTCCATTCGTTTCTCATTATCGCCTGGTTCCAGAGTGTGAAGAAACTTAGGTTTATAGGGTTTTATGTTATTTTTTTTAGGCAGCGTCGGATACTTTCTCTAGGTAAATTTAAATCTAAACTAGCAATCCTGAGGCTATTCTGAGGATTGTTTGTAAAATAATTTAAAATTTCCTGCTCGTGAATACGTCTTCTCTGTTGATTGTCCCTTTTTAAAATGCATTTTGATACAGCACCATATTCCATAAAAGTATTGTTTATTTTAAAAACTGTGCTATGCGTAATATTAGGTCTATCTGGATGTCTGTTGTTAAAAATTATACACACCTCTCTTGCCGTCCGATCATTTTCTCCAGAAAGGCGTACTATTTCAATTTTCCCATGTAAAGTTAAACTTTGAGCCATCGCAAAGAATTATGGAATGCACAAAAAATATTACAATGTGCCACTACTTGTGAAGTTTGACATTTGTTGTCTAAACTTCTATATTTCACAGCCTATCAAATTTTGTTCATATTATTTTTAAGCAACGTTATTTTCTGAATATCTCTTAATATTTTTTTCAGAAAATTCTTCACAAATAATTGGATTATGGTTGTAGAATCCAGTGGCTTTTTGAATAAAAAAATTATAAATGTAATTATTTTTGTCTAAGATGGTAATATTTGTAAGTTTTGGCATAATAACCACGAAATAATAATAATTTGACGAACTTGTTGTTTATTTTATGTATACTGGTTTTTATGGTTCTTATTAATAATTATTAAATTTTGTTTCCCTTTGGGTTCTATTTGGTTTTTATAAAAGAATAGGTTCACCGACAACGGCAAACACTGGTGATGCCGATATTGTCATAACTTTTTTAGGGGAAAACTTTTTTTCGCAAAAATTGGTACAAATGCATTTGAGGGGTTTCTAAATCCAGTGGTGTGGTCATATTTTTTATAAAAAAATCGCTAACAAAATTTTGCTACTTTTCACTTAAAAAAAAATTCGTAGTAGGCCTTGAAAATCAAAATTTCGTCTTCAAATTTTGCATCAAGATAGAGCTTTTGGAGATCTATCTTTTAAAAAAAAAACCGGTTCAAATCGGTCCATAAACAACTTTTGTACGCGAGTGTTTCCATTCTTAATGGGTCACCCTGTATATCAAAATTGTTGTACTCTTAATTTTTGAGTAAAATATTTTTCTACATTTTTGCCAGATTAAACTGTCTCGTTAGAAATAAATTACTATCTGAAACAATTATACAGTTGCATAGTTACAAAGAACAAACATTCTAAAACGAAATAAACATTTATTGCCCTTTTAGTCCAAATTTCCCATGTTACTTTTAATTTTACAAGTGTCAACCTTTAAAATTTTTTTCAGTATGCTTCCTTATATTTGAAAAGTTAAAGAATGCTTACTTTAATTATGAGAAAAAATTATTATGGTGTATGCATCATGCGTATGCATATATTTTCCTTGCTTGGCAAAGCTCATCTACACCCACTTGTTGAATTTACTTATGTTTCAGTTAAACCTTGTTAGATACATTAATCGTCCATTAACCTGTCCCTAGAGTCTGCGGACATAAATTGTGTTTAGTCTGCTTTGCTGTAACTTGCGAATCTGCATTTGTGTTTACCTTGAGAGGATTATAATGTATTTAAATAAGTTTTAATAAAAAAATAATCTCATTTCGAGATTCAATAATCTGTTTTTACACTTTCTTTTACACACATATCAAATCTAAGAAGATTTCTGCTAATTACATTATTGTCCTTTAGATTTCGGAAAGGCACAAACAAAATAGCAACGGTGACTTTCCGGTGATCGCCCTGTAACACAGATGATTACTAAAACGAGCTGGACATTGCTTTTTGTAAATAATACACCATTTAAATATCATGTTTGGCAATTAGGAATGAATACAAGGTTGTATGTAGATTTAGCAAATCATTTTAAGAGGAATTATCTAATTTAGGGTCACAGGCCTATACAGGGTGTATCATAATTAATAGCGCACATTGAAACAGCTGATGATTGTTTTTCAGTTTTTTTACGATATTTCAGGAACCGTTTGAAATACTTACATTTTGTACACGTATTGTAATTAACATTAGCTACTTTTGAGCGTTAATTCAATTTTTATTCATATATGACAGTAGCGGAGACTTTAGCGTTAGATTCTATTGCCCCTAATTTTTACGGAAATGGGCATTTTGAAAGCCCATTTTAAACCGCCAATGTTTTCTATACGAAAAAGGTGCTCATCTTCAAAAGCTCGCGAACCGTTTCCAAGATAAATGGCGTTTTATGAATGAAAACAAATAAATAACAAAAATCAGTTGTGGTAATACAAGCTTCCAACCTACCTATAAAACACCTTGTATAAATATTGTACAGAAATAAGAGAGTTTTTAATTTAAGAACATTTTTTCATCAAGTGAATTCTTTTTGTTCTCAGGCGAACCTCTTCAGTACGATCCGCAATTTGATGGACCATTAAAGAGGAGATCTTGTACCGATGTGATATGTTTGCTGATCTTTGCTGTCTTTATGACGGGATGGGTAGGAATAGGGATATATGGTAAGCCCATGTTTTTTCAATTTCCTTAAATAAACAAGCAATTTATACGAACATGGAAAAAGTTAGAGAAAACAAAATAACAATAACCTCTTCCAAAATGTGGTCGAGATCTTTTTCGTTATGAAAGTTTTTTATGTGAGTCTCATCAACATATGTTCCTTTGAACTTTCACCACTAAAAATTACTAAATCGACCTTCATATCTTATTTACATTTCAGCGTTCATGAACGGCGATCCCTCCACTTTGTTGGTACCAAAAGACACCGCTGGTAGCCGTTGTGGAGTCGACTCGCATGTTAAAGACAGACCGTATCTATTTTTCTTCGATTTAACACGATGTTTAGATCCAAGGGTGCCATTTACTGGATGTAACACGACCCAGGTAAACCTTTCTGAATCTTGTTATGTGAAATGGTCTTGCTTTGCCTTTACATTTTGAAATTAACCGTTTCCTGTTTCTTTTATAGGTGTGTGTAACACAATGCCCATCCACGAATTATTTTAAGACAGGCGCTACTTACGAGGGAGACACTGGATTCTGCAATACATATACGAATAGTAGTACCTCGGATTGTCCCGATTGGTATCTCATAAGCACAGTGTGTAAGTTTCGCTTTGCATTTCAGTATCTATAAGATCGCCATACCAAAAAGTGTTATAAAGTCAAAAACTTCATTATTTTCTTCATTATTTAGGTACTATTTAATTTATTTTTTAGTCATAGAAATTTAAATAGAATAGAAATACAGATTTTGTGAAAAATACAGAAATATTGCATTGGCAACATTGTACAGATTATATGTCCTAAATCGCAAACTCTTATATAGGGTCATAATTGTACGGAGCGTACCTTTGACATCTAGAAACATATCAGAAGTTTGTTGTCTTAAATTTCGCCGGGAAGTCCATTTTTCAACGATTTTTTTTTAATGTTTCATTGGACCCAATTGAAAACTGCGGCAGGCATTGTTGTCAAAACTCATCTTTCTGTACACGTGTACTAAGCATTATGGACGCAGGCTGGAATTTGGATGGGTGACCTAAGGCAGGCTCGGGGGCGTGGCTGTGGCAGCCTACCAGAGACCTGGGTCGCTCAACATTTTCCGCATGCGTGTGGTCCCCGATAAATGGTAATGAGAACAGAGCAAAGAAGATCTCTGTAACTCAAGACCATGCTATCATACATAAACTGTACGTGACTTTGCCACCAAGCCACCTGTGTAGTAAATAGGATGGTTTGAAGAAAAGTACTCGAGTAATGAAGGAGGGTGTACAAAGGGCCTAATAAGGCCTAAGTGCCTAAGTGCCGCGATAGAATAACAATTCCACCACCCACCGACATACATACATACATATATAAGTAATTTACGATAGTTAAAAGCCAGAGGTATTTTAGTTAAAATACCAATGTTCTATTTAGGTGTAGTAACTAATCTACCACAAAAACCGATAAAACAAATAAAAATAACTAGGAAGAATAAAATATATCGTTTGCGAACTTATTTTTTTCCCTTATTTTCGGCCTAAGTCTGTACAATTTTGTCAGTGCAATTTTTCAACATTCTAAATAACTGTTTGACGATTAAGTGAAGCCAGAGACACACGTTGTCGCATCACGTGGTATCGTGTTACAGAAATCTTAAACTCTTAAGAGACTAAACAAAATGGACAAATTATTAGCAGAGGGTGGTGAAAAGCATCTGGACCAAAAAATATCCGGTAAATCGAAGGCTCACATAATTCGTACAGACGGACATAAATAAGTTTGCGTCTGAGTTAGCTCCGCCCACTGGAGGCGGTAAGGGAAACGCCCCAGAAGCGTATTCGTAAATCCGCTATCCTTCATCGCCGTCTTATTCTTTCTAGCCGATTGCGGTCTTTCACAATCTCCCCCAGCTCTGCCTGAATCAGAAACGCAAACTTGTTGACGTGACAGCAACGTGTCTCTGCCTTCATATTTATAAGATTGGTAGCCACTTTATTTTCAAACTAAAATCTCGTGCTGTCTTATCTTCAAAATTTTCGACACAATCACACTTTTTCCTATATTCCTTCTAGTAAAGTTCATAATCAATTATGTGCAGTCATCAAGTGTATTTTATTTGTTCTGTATAGTCCTCAATCGGTGTTTATACAACGTGGGGGACCGTAAAAAACTGAAGCGACCGGGTATGGCTGAAGTGATGGGCGACGAGATATCTGTGATGAAAAGTCTCCTTAACCCTTATCACATGTGGATATCTCTGGCTGTTCAGAACGCCCTCACATATCTTACAGAAAACGAAAATGTCCACAAGGTACAAAGAAGGAAAACTGTAAAAGAACATTTATAGTAAATTTCATGCAAACTAAAGCTTATTTTCTCGCTATTTCCTTTTCATATTTCCATGGTATCAGTTACTTACAGAAGAAGAAAAAGCAAAACTTTCAAGGTCGTTATAGGTTACTCGAACTCAAATGTCTTATTTTTGCATTAACATCATTGTTACAAGAGTTTTTGTAGAAATGGTGTCTTATTTTTTGGATTCATTCTTTATAACACACCTGGTCTGTCTGGTCATTAGCTTGTGCATGGTCTCTAAAGAAAAGGTTTTTCGACTCATTCACCAACCTTTCTGTAACATAATTTTTTCTCTTTCTGTTTGAACAAAGTAGACATATAAAAGTTACACAAATTTCACTCTATGGTTTTAAATTTCTCGGTATCTAATTTTCCAGTAGATTCACACAACAAACCCATCAATCACAATAGAACACAAATTTTGAGTAGCGTATAATAGCTTTGTTCCAAGTGCATTAGAATTAGTTTCCAACAGTCCGACGCAATCGCATTTGCTTCAAAACAATGAATTTTGAACCTTATGTAAGCATTATATCCATATGCGCATGCGTCTGACTGTTGGAAACTGTTTTGGATTCTACTAGGAACAAAGCTAATAGCTGTTTTACATGGGCAATTTATTCATGAATAAATTCACGAAGTTCTTCAAGAATTAACTCACGAATCTATTTGTAAACGGTTTGGTTTTACACTGCTACAGACTTCTTGAATTTCTTTGATACATGAATAAGGTCTACCAACAAATCAAAGAAGCAAATAAGTTTCAAAAATGTCACCTTTCCACGCATAATTGTAGTGGTACAACAGCAGTAACTACCATACAATTATTTACATATTCCAATAACATATAGACCTATCGAAATAACTATCATTTAGAGGGGAAAAAAAAAAGAAAATTGTTACCTGGATTTTTATAAGTGGAAATGGTAAAGGGGCTTATAACAAACGAAAAAAAAAATAAATGCGTGAGCAGGGGCGGCGGAGGGTTGATTTGGGGAGTTGAAAAGTTGTGAAAAATTGTATCATAAGTATCCAATACATACAAAAGTTGTAGATCCTGCAAAAATCTACAACTTTTGTAGAGGTCACTTTTTAAGAAAACCTCAAAATTTCCGAGAAAAATGCGAAAAACAGGTTTTTTGTGACTTTTCGTTTTTTATTTCTCATTTTCGCAAAAATACTTTAATTTTGACGAAACTTGGTGAAAGTATACCTTTCTGTGTCTTAGATAACCACACATTTTTTTAGATAAAAAAATCAAGAAGTTTCCGAGATATTCATTTTTTCCGTCTAAAACACTTTTTCTTCAAAGAAAAATTCTACCTAGAATAATCATCGTACAGAGTTCTGCCGGCAATTATTTTTTTCGTTTTCACATATACCTTTTGGTGAAATAAAAAATCTGTAATCAGTTCAAAAACATGCTCAAAAATGCAAAAAAATAAAAAATGACTTGCAACAATGAATTTTTCAGTAATTGTCGATAATTTGTTTAAATTAAAAAAAAATTTAAAAACTGATTACAACATTCAATTCTACGGAAAAAATACAAAAAAAAGCTGTCTCGTCGTTTGACCCAAAACTTTATTTTTGTACAGGATTGCAATAAACATAAGTCGAATAGTGAATAAATAAAATAAATATTTTTTTTTTTCCATAGGATCGATTAGTGTACCTTTTTTTTAATTCTCATGAATTCATAGATATACAATGTGTCCAAGATAAGAATGGGATAGCATTGAGATCTAGGAAACGGTAAGAGATAAGGGGTGGCTCAGATTAGAACAAAGTTGTGTTTTTTAATACCTAATAATATGCCGTAAAGTTTTAAAATTCCGGGTAGTTCCGGAGATATCCGGAAAAACCTGAAATTTTGCAAAACTGTTAAATTTTTTCTGGCTTTATTTAAAAACGAATTTTAAAATAAACTACATATTTACAATGCTACTCGCTCTATACAATGGCATCAACATTTGTGCAATCCGACGTTTCGTCTTCGAGGGGCCATCATCGGATTAATTTTTTAAAATACGTGGCTGCATTTTTTTTAGGTTTATTATAAGCCCTTTTACTATTTCCACTTATAAAAGTCCAGGTAACATTTTTTTTCTCCAAGTGTAATTTGGTTGGACTAATAACCCATTACTGATCTGACTGTAGGAAATTTGTTGGGTTGGCACTGAACTTCGCGAAGAAATTGACGAAAATTATAGCATGTTCTAATCAGTTCTAATTCGTCAAGAACTTGAATAAATTCATGAAGTTATTTGCATAGATTGGTTATTTGACAGTAGATTTGGTGCATTACACTTGTCCAATTTCTTGATGAAGGGACTTCATGAATTACTTCATCAAAAAATTGTCAATGTAAAACAGCTTTAACAAAAATAAAAGGTTGTGGACAATAAGTAATTACCATTATTGCTAAGGAAAACATTTTATTAACATACGATGCATTTAGCGCTAACATAAAGGGAGTAGTTACTATACAGGGTACTTCGTAAATACGTACATTGATTATTGATTAAGTAGATTTTTCACGTCTTCCAACAAACTTTTCACGGAACATATCTTACTTATGAAATACTGTATATTCATTTAGGGTATAAAACAATAACTTTTAGGTGCAACAACATAGACAATTTATTAATTTTATGAAACATTCAATCAGAAAATTTCAAACTTGAATCCATTTCCCAACTTGTAGAAATAATCCAGAAGGGGTTGTTGAAGGATAATCACAAACTATACAGGGTGTGCCATTTAACACTCCCGCTACCAATATCTCCGAAATGAAGAAATTTATTTTAGTTTCGAAAATTGTGGTTGTTAGATCCCTCGAATAGCTTCAAACTGTATATAGAATTGTTAGTTCAAATCTTTCTGTAGAGATGGCGTGGTGATACTTAAAAATTTTTTGTTCCCTGGAACGTGGTAATACACTCCATCTGAAAGATCGTTAAATTTTGAGTAATTTTTGTAATATAAAGATTTTCCCTACATTTAATCGTTTTAAATCTTGTAAGGGGCAGAGATGAACCGTATTTTATCAAATGTTATTAAAAAATGCAGTCATAGGTGGCTCATGTCATTTGTTTAAAATAAAACAATGACATGTGACACATATTCACATATTAGTTTTCCAATAATTACAGTTTTATCAGTTTGCATCTTTCAGTTTAACTATACTAGTTATACGATTTGCCATTGCACAACTTTTTTTCTGTAGTTGATCATTTGTGTTGTTATAATTTATTATTTGTTAGTTAGTATATGTGATGTGAATAAAGTTATTATAACAATATTTTAAAAGAATATATTGTCTTGGTGTGATTTAGATAAAATAATAGATTTCCTGTTATATCATTCATTGCATGAATATCTCGAAAACAAGTAAATGTAGGGAAAAACTTGATATTACCAAAATTACTCAAAATCTAACTATCTTTCAGATGGACTGTGTTTCTATGTTCCAGGGAACGAAAAATTTTTTAGTAACGCCACGCCATCTATACAGAAAGATTCTAACTGCAATTTGAAGCTATTCTGGTGATCTAACAACCCCAATTTCCGAAACTAAAATAAATTTCTTCATTTCGGAGATATTGGCAGCGGGAGTGTTAAATGGCACACCCTGTATATCAAAAGTATTGTATTTTTTGTGAAAGTTTAAAGTAAAATTTTGTTCAATTATTTATTCCAGTTCAAAAAAGGTGTATTCCAAATCTGACCAACATAAATGATACAACTATTGAAGCCATACAAAAGATTACAAATATTGCTAATTTCTACGAAACAATGAGAATTTCCATTAGTAATATTAAACATTTGGCAGAAGCAGAGGAGGTAGGCAAAAAGTTAATAGTTTGATGTGCGTCGTTTTTGTTTTTATTTTGTTTTATGTTGTTTTTTTTTCACTGTTATTGCTTGATATGTCGGCACAGCATAAGTTTTTAAATAATACATGTGTGTCTAAAAATTATTTCAAACTTTTTTTACGATCAATGATACAAGGTAGGTGGCACAATAAAATAGTGCAGAGAAAAAGAAACATTGTTTTTTTTTACTGAGTTGTTGGATTCTTGAAAAAGGGCATTATTAACTATTTTGCTTTCACGTCATATCTAAGTCATTGCATGTCTCTAACGATGCTTTATTTGCATAAGTTGCTTTTAGTTTTGTTTTAGTGGGAAAAGATAAATGTGAAACTAGAATTTAGCTCCATTTATACTTTGTGTTATATGTTTGCGTGTTAGAGAAATATAATTGTCGTGGAAATTAATCGACATTGGATTTTTAGATTGGACAAAATGTCGTCGAAGACATAATACGCTCTTGGTGGAAAATTCTGCTAGGAGTTGTACTGGCCTTACTGGCCTGCATCATTTACATCATAATGTTGAGATGGATGGCCGCACCTATTGTATGGCTATCTATTATCGGAGTATTGGCTTGTCTAAGTTGTGGTGAGTACGGTAAACGGGGTTACTTCGGACTCGACAAATAATTTCAGACAGCCTAGAAATTAGTCTACTAAATATACGTCAATGAAATGCATTAGCGAACCACTCCATTCCATGGGAGTACCATTTTAGAGGGTTCCAAAAATTATTAGATTTAGAAATAAAGTCGGTTTTGGTAAGAAGAAACAAAAGTTTTCACTAATGTAATAATTGTATATGCTTGTAGTCCGTTTTCAACCATTGTTAACTGTTTCCTAATCAAAAAATTAAATATGTTTCTATGTTAGAATTATTTTTAAAACTGATGTCATGCCAGAGGCTAATCTTTAAAACAAAAAAAAGAAAGAAACAAAAATCGGTGTTGCAATATTTTTAACAAAGTTATACAAAAGTGAACTCCAAAAACCCTGAGTATGTGCATATTTGATGTATAATTTTTTTGTAAATTAACAAAATCTGTTGGGAGTAGTCTCCTTTATGGTATATGACAGTAATTTGGTTACTTTTAAGTTAATTATCAAGTAAATCTCACAGAAATATAAGTCACTGTATTACAAATAAATAAAAAACACAGCCAGACGAAAAAAATGGTCTGTTCCACGCCACCCCCTATCTATTTGCTTCCCCTATTTTTTTTAAATTGCCAAAAACCACCCCTAAAATTTAAAAAAATAGTCAAAAATCTGTATTCTATAACTTTCTCCAAGACATAGCCCTGAAAACGAGTCGATGTATGATATTTGTTGTGCTCATTGCGTATTTTAGATAATCCACGACTCATCAACTTTGAAACTCTTCAGTTTTGGGTGAATATAAAAAAAACTGCTCTCAAAAGCTAAAAATAAACTAAAATTCTGCATTTGAAGGATTAAAGTCACAAATTGAAACCAGTTTTTACAGCCTGAAGTCAATGGGGGCCCGCGTTACCCTACAGAGCAGATAAGTGGGTAATGCGAGCTTGTTGTGAATCTAAATTCCTAACCTACAAATATGTTCGAACAATTTGTCCAATACCGCAGACATACGAAGACAAAATTATTCCTATAACCCTTCAGTTCTTGATATATATCAGAAACTTCCTACTCTCCAAAACCACTTTTGGGTTTTTCTTTAGATGCATCCTTACAAAGGAATTTCCTTCCTTAAACTATTATTGTTAGTTAGCCATGTATGCTCTTTGAATTTCACAGATCACACAATTCTTTGTCTTCATATTCCATTCACAATGTATCCATTATTTTTAAATGAGTTTATGCTGGAAGATATTACAAGATTTTCTTGATGGGTCTGTCACCTGGTCAATTTGCTATTGGACATGTATCCTCATTGATTTCCAAAGGAGCTTATGGTATAGGTACTTCAAGTCTCTAAAGGCAGTTGCAAATGGGTCGACTCGATTATAAGGCTACATCGAAAGCCTACAGTAAATCAATACAGTGGTTTTTGACCCAAGGAGAATCTTATCGAATGTAGAGCTTTCACTGCTTCTTAGGATTTAAGGCTCATTTTTGGCAGTATGATCGAGCAATTCTCATAGGTTTCTGAGAGTCTAAACACAATAAAGTGGTGTGGGTTTTTATTTATTGGACACATTAACCAAAGCCTGGGAGGACAGTACAGTGTAAAAAAGATCTATGGAACATACCATTTTTTTGTGTACTTGCGTAATTGGCATTTGAATTTAACAATCTTTCAACAGTAAAAAAAAAATGTGTTAGACTGACGACCAAAAATTTGAATACACAAAATAAAGGATGAATTTTGCAGGTCTATATTTTACAACAATCAAGTATATCGAATTCAGAGACAAATACAATGCAGAAGTATACGAAGAAGTGAAGTCAAGTTATAAAACAAAACGAGACTTATTCCTGACCGGATTAATAATTATATCCATTGTACTAGCTATAATTTTATTAATGCTGATCTTTTTACGGAAACGTATAATTCTGGCGATAGCCCTTGTGAAAGAGGGCAGCAAGTAAGTGGTCTTAATTTGTTTATTTGTCGAAGAAGTATTTTAATGATTTGTTATAATTCTTTTGACTAGAACTGCGTTCTTAAATGATAATCAATTTCTAGGGCCGTCAGTTCTGTAACTGCGTCGCTATTCTTCCCAATATTGCCATGGGTTTTACAACTCGGCATTATAGCATACGCAATAGCCGTTGCTCTGTATCTTAAAACCACCGGCGATCCTGTATACAGGACTAGACATATAGAGTCGACATGTAACATCGGATTTGAAGTAAGTTTTAAAGTTTTAACAAGGAGGGTGTTTCAAATTAGATGTGGCTGTTGGTAGATGGTTACGGAATGGACTAGAAAAATTTTTTCTTTAACAAACAAAAATTGTCGCTCTTGTATTGGAAGGGATTTTGAAAATTAAAGCATTTGAAAACATTTTTCTAACGTTCCCAGTGTTACCACATCAAATTTGAAACATCCTGTATAATAAAACAATAACAGAAAAATTAAACATCTTTCCAATCTCTACAGGACAATGTTGAATGCGATCCAGACGAATTCAGAGCGGCCATTGAAAACAATACTTTAGGAGGTTGCGCAAATGCTATCTGCAAATTTATTCGGATAGACAACAGTGATTTTTATCCATACTTGCAAGGTATTTTTTTTTATTTTTCTGAGAAGTCAAAAGTTATACTGTAATATTTTCTAGCTATTAACGTTTTCGGGTTCTTTTGGTTGGTATTTTTCATATCTGCTTTGGGACAGATGGTCTTGGCTGCGGTTTTCGCCCAGTGGTACTGGACTTTCCACAAAAGCGCACTTCCGTTTTTCGCTGTAACTGTAGCATTCTGCAGAACAGTAAGGTAGTAGAACTCTTGAATTTAACCAAAATCTCTTTTCTATTAGACTTTCCTTAGTTCGAAAATAGAAAGTAGATGCTAAATTGTTAAATCTAATGCTTCAATTTAAAAATATTTCACACTATACAGGATGTACTGTGCATATTACAATGACAGAGCAGGGCAATTAATTTGATTATACATGTACAGAGTGATTCAAAACTTAGCCAAAAAACTTTGGATATCACCAAAAAAGTTATAATAATAATATTTATAAATGTCAACAAAAAAAAGTTGTATAATGGTTTTATTAAAATGTATCTTAAGTTTTCTGAATGCACCGCTCCATATAGCATCAGCCAACTTGGTTTGATTATTTATTCAGTATTATCGTGGTTTTCATAGTGCTCTTATTACCGTGGTTTACTGTTTACACTACTCTAACAAGTATTCAGAAGGGTCTGTGTGTACTAATGCAGAATTAATGGATGGATATCATGTTAATTTAGGACCAAGCAAGACAAACTGCATAGGCAGCATCTATTTTGGATGTAGAATCTCCATATATCATTGAAAGGCAAATTATAGTACGAAATTGTTGTACTCGTAATTAAAATAATGCCATTGAAAACTTGATCAATGTAGTGTTTTATCTAAATTTCATTGTTATTGTCCAAAGTTGAAGATGGTCTGACAACAATTCAAATGTATGAATAGCGAGAAAAATGTACAGGGTGAACTTTTGTTAATGACCACAAAAAAATGAGAGTGCTGATACCATCACGATTCGGAATTCTATATAAGTTTATTAACCCTCTCCTGCTCTGGCCATTACAGTATGTACAGTTTGTCACGAAACACCATATACAATATTGTCGTATTGTTTAGGTACCATCTAGGAACCCTTGCCTTTGGCTCCCTAATCATTGCGATCTGTCGAATAATAAGGGTGCTATTGGAGTACATCGACTACAAATTAAAGAAATACGATAACGACTTAGTCAAAGCCATCCTGTGCTGCTGCAAATGTTTCTTCTGGTGCCTGGAGAACTTCCTCAAATTTATCAATAAAAATGCCTACATCATGTGCGCCGTTCATGGCAAGAACTTCTGCGCCAGCGCCAAAGACGCATTTTTACTTTTAATGCGCAACATCGTCAGGGTGTTCGTACTTGATAAAGTGAGTTCATATATTGTAGCGGTAAAAATCGGGATTAATTACGATTTCTTTTCCAGGTGACTGACTTCCTCTTTTTCCTAAGCAAACTGCTAGTAACGTGCGGTGTGGGCGCGGTGTCGTACGTCATTTTCGCTACAGATCTCACTTCCATTGATAATTCGAGTTTAAATTATGGGATTGTACCTGTGATTATCATAATGGTTTGCACGTACCTGATCTCGTCGGTATTCTTCAGCGTATACAGTATGGCTGTGGACACGCTGTTTCTCTGTTTCTGTAAGTATGCTTAAGCCGTTGGACGGGGTTTTTTCTTTAAAACTTCCCAGCTTATCACGGAAACAAAAATAGAAAAAAACTTTATGTTAATATTATTATTAATATTTGTGTGGGATTTTTTGTGAGTTTAAATTTTATCTTTGTTGTTGCATTTTTTTGCAATTGTGTTGTATTGTTTTATTTCAGTGGAAGACTGTGAAAGGAATGATGGTTCCGCAGAGAAGCCGTACTTCATGTCGAAGAATTTGATGAAGATTTTCGGAAAGAAGAACAATCTCTCGTAGTATTATTGCCGCCAAAAAATTTTTTATTGTCGCACTGAAGATAATAAATAATTGAACTGTGATAAGTATCGTAAACATGATTACCAAATAAACTAGTTATATAATATATTTTACCAAATTTGTACTAGTTCTAATATAATCATAATAAAATACCTATTAACAGGTAGAATCCAAGTTATGTATTTTTAATGTAACAAGATTATCACTATTTTGAAATATAAGTTTGTATCCATACAATTTAAAGTATTTTTAACAAAAAATATTTTTACATATAAAGGATTTTAATAAAAATATTTCTCATCTATTCTCTATTCTCTATTCTCTACTCTCTATTTCCTTGCTTTAACATCAAAAAATAAAAATTTTGAATTTTCAACATTTTCTGAATTTCATATTCAATCACTTTTTTTGACCACCTTGTATAAAAACTGGAAAATTTTCATGTCAAATCCGATAAATTAGATCCTCTTCTACAAAATATCCAATTCGCACAAAAAAAATAAACCTGTGTTTCGGGGAAAACTACTCACCGCAAAAAAAAAAAATTTCTGCCTGTTTTTGAGACTGATAGAGGCGACAGGGAAAATCCTAAAAATATTCTAAAAATATTTTTCGAAAGTCACCCTTATTTAGGGGTTGAAAAGAAAAAAAGTGAACAAATTAAAAATCATCAACAGTTGTAAAACCCCAAATATTTCTATGTTGTTATCAGAATAATATTATGAACGTGAAAATATTTCATTTCGTATTTGATACGGTCTTGTCCGGACTGAAAATCAATCCATAATATCCCTAAAGGGGCGAAATCATCCCCTAAATGCCTAAAAATGCAAAAAATATATTAAAAGTTACAATTTTTTTTCTTTTTCTTAATGACTTCCGGTATAACCGGAAATACGATGACTTAGAAAATATTTTAACTTGGTTACCCCCACGGTCCGTATCACATCACCACAATTTAAAGATAATCCGTCCAACGGTTTCCCAGATATCCATCGATGGAGTACGTGGTGGAACACCCTGTATAGTTTTATATCAAGCACTTAAAGAAACTGTTGTAAGGTGCTTGCGATTAATTTTTAAGAGGGCTTTATTGCAAACAGGCAACTAGCAATACATTTTTATAGATTTTATTACACAGTTTGTCCAAAAATTAATTAATGCACAATCAGACTTTCCACCATTTTAACACAGATTTTCTATAAAAGGGACTTAGTTTGAAACTCAAATTACTTTTTGGTGTAAAGAAATTTGTAATTTACGAAGCCGCTTGTACAAAATTACTAATTTCTTTACAACAAAAAGTAATTTGAGTTTCAAACTAACTCCATTCTATAGAAAATCTGCGTTAGAATGGAGGAAAGTCTGTTATTCATAGATTAGTTCATACTTAGACAAACTATGTATAATATATAAAAATGTATTGGTGGTTGCCTATATGGTATAGACCGCTCTAAAGGGTTTGGTATTAAAAAATAAACATTTTTTGGGAAATGCTGGAAAGTGATATGTTATTTCCTTAGAAAAAAAAAAAAAAACTCAATTATTAATAAAGTTTTATTTTAAATAACTTATCACAATAAACAACAAAAAGTTCGGCAGGCGACACTACAGTTTGATATTTATCGTAGGAATGTTCTCATTGTCCGCTATTTCGTCGTCAACTATGGGGACGAGCCCATCTTCATCAGCTCTTGATAATATATCACAAATGAGGGGCGATTCTACACCTAAGATGTACTCGCAGTATTTGGGCTCTAATAAATATAAGGAAACAGCGTTAGGACTAGACGGATTTTCTAGACACTTCAATTTAACTTCGGTTTGTCGGGGTTTGCCCGTTTTATCACACACTGTACCGCTTGAGTAAAAGTGCGAAAGTTGTTTTCGTTGGGCTAATGGTTTAGGGCGTTTATGAGGGTGCTTTTCGATCCAGTCCAAATGTGTTTTCTTATTGAAAAGGCCTAAATTAATGGAGACCCTTCGTCCATCTTTTTCGACATGATATTGTTCAACGTATCTTCCATAACAAAACTCGAATTTCCACCAACCCGTGCCGCCGTTTAAGCAGTTCTTACCTTGTAAGAAGCTTTCGACAGGAGACGGATCTACGATTTTAATTTCTGGTGCTTTGGTGACAGGTTCTTCTTTCTCTATCTGTATCAGCTCTACTCTGAATCGGTCCAGGTCAGAGTTTCTACGTAGCTTAGCGCTTTCCTGTTTCAATTTGACCAAACTGTATGGTTTCTTAGGGCTGTCTTCGAGAGGGATGCAGCTTATTTTATGCTCGCCAGTTTCTTTTGGTTTATATTTGGGGTGAGCGCATAACAGAGGTGACAAAATGATAATTTCATATGTGCACGTGGACGTTTCTTTCAAAGAGTATACTTCATGCTTCCCATGAACATAACATACGTAAAGAACTTTAGTCATACGAGGTTTGTTGTTGTTTAAATCACAAGATGTTCCGTTGTCCATCGTAACTTCGAAATAAGGCAGATTGACATTGTCAATTTTCTTCACAGGGACCTGAATATTCTCATCTGTTTCTTCTTCTTTCGAAGTCTCAAGCATATTATCTAAATATTTTTCGTCCCATTTCCCTAAAATGTACTCTTGCACTTTTATTTTCTTGCCTTCCCGATCTTCATGATATTGTCGGATATATCTGCCGTGACATACTTCATAAGTCCAATAAGATTCTAAACGAAAGGAGCAAGTAGTTTGAGTAAATAAAGGTGATATAAGTTTCAGAGCAGATGGACCCTCGTACTTTATATCTTGATTTGACTCCTTTTCCGAAATGGTAGGTAAAATGCACCTATATTTTTCCTGATGCAAGGATGTCACTATCATGGATTCACCGGGCAGATCAGCATCTTCAGGAAGAAGTTCTCCTGGCCAGTCTATATTAAACAATACAGTGTCATCAAAACCTTTGATATCATTTTGTTTACTTTCATGACAGACAAAAATCAATAGTAGTAGTTCCCAAAGCAAATCCATTTTAAACTATGCTTCAAGTTAGTTTTCACATTATTTACTAAACTTATGTTAATTTTATTTTGCGATAATGAACTGACGTGACAACTTGTCATTGGATTCCATTAAAAAATTGACAAAGTAGAAGTTGACGTATGGTCGACGTTGAAATTGTCAAGCAATACCAACATTAATACTCCAAATCACTAGTAACTATATCACTGACTATTTTTACAATATAGACTACGCTAGTATTGTACTACTTTAGAACCGCGCGCCGAGCCATTATTCCATGGCTAGAAATTGGCCTCAATGATTTGGGATCGAGGGGGATTATCCCTCTTTATCCTGCCTCATCTCGTGTAGGCCTGGACAGCTTTCGTAGGTGGGCCCCATCCGTCGTCTACCCCGACCGCAATGCGGCCGGTGTAGGCGCTTTGTGGGACCTCCTTTTATCCTGGCTGGGCCCCGCCGGCTAGGGCCCTTTCTTCTGGCGCTCTTCTTGCTTCGCCGGCTCGTCTGTGTAAACCCCGGGGGTGGTGTCATGTTTATGTGTGTTATGGATGGGTAGGGCAGTGCGGCTATGCAGCCTGGCTTTAGAACCAAATTGTTTGTGCGCACAGCGCAGGCAGCATTTGATTCGGCGCATTAACGTATTTAATAATTTGTACAATTTGTGTAAAAAACGCATAAGTTCAATGTACATTGATCGCATATGAAACTAATAATTATAATAGAAATTAATTGCTAGGTTTGTAAACAGATAATTAACATTTGTATTTTAAATTCCATGAGCTATGTGCACTATAAAAGGAATACAGTACGTATATCTGTTTCTGTTCACTTCTCAGGGTGCTTTCATTTAGGTATTTTAAATTTGATATGTTGGTTTTTTGAAACTTTTTTGACAGCGTTTATTCTTCGACAGTAGATGTTTTCTGTTCAAAATATAAATATTTGGAAAAGTATATTAGATTTTCTTTTGTATAATAACATAATGCCTCAGAAAATATACATTCGTTTAGCTTCTCATCGCGTCAATAGTTCAGTGGCTGTAAATCAACGATATCCTAAGATATTTACACCAGGGGAGGTTATAACCAGTCACAATGAATTTATGAGGTTAGTTAATCATTTATTTGCATTAATTATTGCCTAAAACTTATTGTATTAGAGGACATGGTACATACGAAGAGAACGGCCAATTAAAATCCTCGGTAGCAGGTGTAAGAGAGCAGGTAAACAATTTGATTTCCGTGAGACCGCTGAAGAGCAGGTACAATGGAGAAGTCGGTGATGTAGTCGTTGGAAGAATTACAGAAGTACAACAGAAGAGGTGGAAAGTTGAGACTAACTCTAGGTTGGATTCAGTACTTTTACTTTCGTCTGTCAATTTACCTGGCGGAGAACTGGTAGGAATTACTCTTAGTGAATAATTAAAATGGAAACAGATGCAGTACTTATCGATTAGCAGTGTAGTACACTCTGTAGTGTATCATATTTTTTTTAGAGACGTAGATCTGTAGAAGATGAGCACATGATGAGGCAGTATCTGCAAGAAGGCGATCTTATAAGCGCAGAAGTTCAAAGCGTTTATTCTGATGGATCGCTTTCCCTTCACACAAGGAGTCTAAGATATGGAAAGGTAAGTACAGAAATACACCAATAAATCATCGAAATGAGTGACCGTAGAATTTAATTTTCAGTTGTCGCAAGGTGTCTTAGTGAAAGTGTTTCCGTCCCTTATCAAAAGGAGTAAGACACATTTCCATAATTTGCCAATAGGCGTGAGTATTATTTTGGGGAACAACGGATTCATATGGATTTGCCCCCCTATAAATAATTCGGAGGAAAGTGTTGGTGGTTTTATACAAAACCTGGAGGAGGTGAATTTTGAAATAAATTTTTTTAATTTAAATTTAAGTCCAAATAAATACGTGAATATATCCAGGACAAGTTTTTAAATTATGAATATTACTAGATTGGGACATTTTTACTTAGGATAAGAATGAATGTGTTATCTGGAAAAGATTCGGCAAAATTTCAAATAAATGCCTTTAAAAACTTCGTTCCCTAAAATAGGCTCTTCAGCCAGTTTTGTGATTTTGAGACTTTGCTTACAAAGTCTCATTATTTTTGGCTACAGGATGGTGGTACAAATAATTTTCTTTATAGGTTATTCCGAGGAAGGAAAGGGAAATGATTGCTAGGATTAGAAATTGTATTTTAGCTTTAACACAAAGTAAGCTCATGTTATACGATACAAGTATCTTGTATGCCTATGAGGAATCCCTCAAATATACCGTACCCGAGTTGTTAGTTCCCGAAGCTATGGTAGACATTGCTCTTTTAACACAGCAGCGGTTGTGCATGATCGAGGATGAGTAGTTATTTGGTTTTAATTCTTTTGTGTAAATGAGCAATTAAAGTTGAATACATATCACTTTTTAATTTTAGCATTAATTTTTTTTCCTTGTCCTGTACTCCTATTTTGTGCCATCTATGGCATAACTATTTAGTTTTATTAAAAAAATAATTCGCTTTATATTCCGACCTAATTTAATTTTGTACGTACCAAGTACGGTTATTGTATACAGAATTTTACATAGAATTCTATGTCCAAATCTTTGAATACATAAAAATAACCTATAAATTAAGTAAACTCACAAAAAATATTTGTGACCTTATGGTTGGTTTATAAAAAAGTATTAGTCCTAACTTAGCCGTAACTTAACCTTAATCTTAGTCCTAAAAAGTTAAATGTACATAATGTAATGTATCGGTTTATAAAAATCCCTAGTCCTAAGGAGGTTTTAAGACATGACCTTGAAAGTTCGCATCTTTTAATTTTTCTAGGATTAAGACTAAGATCTGAGAAGTGCGCATGCACAAGTATTGCATTTCGTAGCATAGTGGCCTCCTGTCTTTGTTTATGGTGGTCGCCAATACGCCATTACCATAGTAATGGGTTATATTTTTCTTTTCACTCACCAACAAAACAAATAAAATAACATTACCACAGAATAATAAACAAGTATTATGCTGTGATATTACTAGCCATGCGCGTAGTCGAATCGCTCATTGGTTAATCTTAATAAAATTAGGACCACACATTGTTTTTATAAACGTGTACCTATTCTTAGGACTAATACTAAGATTAGTGTAAAGGTTAATACTAAGACTAAGACTAAGTTAGGACTAATACTTTTTTATAAACCAACCAT